CGCTGTAGACTTTTTCGAGTGGTGCGTACGCTGGAGCGCTCGGGTTGTGATGTGAAGCAAACGGTCGATGAGGTAAGTCAGCTTCGGGACATATAAGGCAAGTCCCTCGTGCCTTCTGGAGTTCTCTGCCATCGGGTAGAAGTAGAGAGTCTTTGTCGAGGACTCCTGCTCTTATCGTGTTATTCAAAACTGTGTTGCTTGGATGTCCTGTGCGTGCGTGCCAGATCTCTTCAGAGGCGCGGTGTCCGGGTGAACGCTGATATGCGTCGGAGTTGGAGTAAAAGCTGGCGACGAGGTTGGCGCTTCGGTGGACTTCACGCTGAGTCGGATTCAGCTGTTGCGCGAGTGTTGGTGGTGCTTCGTCGACTGTGACTGGTGTCGTTGTTCCTGCTGCTGCTGATGTTGTTGCTGCTGCCGATGTTGTTGCTGCTGTCGATATTGTTGCTGCTGTCGATGTTGTTGCTGCTGCCGATGTTGTTGTCTCTGCTTCTTGTTGAATTGTTGCTAACGCTCTTGTTCGTTCTGCTTCAGGGATAGTGTGGGAGTACCAGAAACCTCCCGGGCTGAAGTCGGGATCGAGATCCGGAGGGTGTGTCCATTCAGCAAAGTTCACAATGGCGTCGCTGTCTGCAGTGCCGAGGTCGGGGGCGAAGTCGAGGACGAAGACGTTGTTCTTCAGCACTGCTTTCCCGATGTAGAGACCGCCTCTTCCGTGGTAAAGCTTGAACTCCTGGGTCGTGCTGTCGGCTTCCAGATGAATTCCTTTTGCCATCAACTGGCTAACGCTCAGTAAGTTGTAGCCGAGTCCTTCAGCGATGAGTACCTTAGACATGTGCAGTATGACATTTGTTTCTCTTGACTGAAGCTGTACCACTCCTTGTCTTCGTGTGCGCAGGTTTTGGTTGTTGGCAACCGTGATGATCACTTCCCGTTGGAGTCGATGTTCGCGTTGTACGAAACGCCCGGACGAGCACATGTGTTGCCCGCAGCAACTGTCCAAGAACCAGGTGTCTTGGCCGGACGGTTCACTTTGAGCGATGGCGGCGTACGTTGGATTCGGCTGGAGTAGCTCACGGCGAGGTGTTCTGTTGTCAAGCTCTTCTTCCGGTGAGTAGTGTGGTGGTGATTCGGTTGTACATGAATCGGTTATCTTCGTCATGCAGTTGATTATATTTCTTGCTCCTTGTGCAGGTTGTCCAGTTGAGGTCGTTGAAGCTTGAATCGTGGTTGTCGAACTTGCTTGTGTCGAAGCAACTTGTGTGCTTGAAGGCCGCAGTTGTCGCTGTGGTGTTGTCTGTCGAGACGGGCAGTGCGAGCGTGGGTGTCCTGATGTCTTGCAGATGTGACAAAATGGAGGTACTGACTTCGGCTGCTGCTGTCGATTGTTGTAGTAGTTGTGTCGTCGCTGAGTATGGAAAGCAAACTCCGGTGCTAATGTCCTTTTCTTGTGTCTTTCTTCTTGCAGGTCCATATCCTGCTGTTCCGCGTGAATTTCTGCGCAAAGTGCCGCTTCGGAGATCCTCCCGTGTGCTCGAAGAATTGCTTTGGTGGCGCGCCACTGAGGACCGAGGCCGCCTATGACGACTGTTACGAAGGCGTCTTCAGAGATTGACCCTCCACATCGAAGAAGCTTGTCGCGCAATTCGCGACATCGGCTGATATACGCCAACCCTTTTTCTCCTGGTTTCATTTCCACTGTTGTCAGCTGCGCCATTAACCTGCTCTGGTTTACACTGTCTGTTGCCTGGTACAGGTTCTTCAGATGGCCGTACGCGAGTTCCGCCGAGTTGCCGAAGTTCCGGTAGGAGCGAATGTTCTGCTGCTGGGTTGGTGTGATGTTTCTCAGTAGAATAGTATACGCCATCATGGATTGATACGTATACTGCTGCTTTTCATACTGTGTCCCGTTTGCTGGATACTGCAGGGATCCGTCGAAGAAGCCAAGTATCTGCGCGCCCTCCATCATCAACTCGAATTCAAAGGACCAGGTAAAGAAGTCCTTTCCGTCGAAAGGTCTTGACGTCTGTAGTTTCAGAACATGCGCGAACTGCGACTGTACTTGTAAGGCATCCATTGGTTTGTCTTGCGCAGGTGGAGGTTGAGGCAGGAAGCTGATCGACCCGCGTTCGTACGGGGCGAAGGTGGGTTGCTGCTGTTGATTCCCTCGCGCATATGACGACCCGTCAAGGCTCATGGGTGTCGCTCCGTTGTTGCTGTTGTGTGTCTGTGCAGGTCCCGACTGCTGGTGTTGCTCGTAGAAGGACATGAAGGAGAAAAATTTCTCCATCATGTTCTGGTCGAAGTCAGAAGGATGGTTCGTGGGGGTCTCGGTTGACGTTCCCCTTGGTCTTGCTGCCGTGCCTTCCTCTGTCTGCAGGCCAGAGGCTGGTGGTGGAGTAGGAGTAGTCCCCGAGGAGCCATTAGGGGAGCTCCTTTCCTTGTTTGTTGCCATGTCTTGTAATGATAAAAAAAAAGTTAGAGTTTTCCCCTGTCTGCTCTCATACCATGTTGGGCTGAGAAAATAGCCCTTAGGATCTTTGCAGAGGAGAACTCTTGGGTAGAAAACTTGTAATAGCGGAAGCGTTTGATGAGGATTGTGAACCGACCTTGCACTGGTGTGTGAGAGCAAAGTAGATTGAATTAAACAAGCAAATACAAGGATTTATATAAGAGTACAGGGAATACGAATAGATAGGTAGATAACTGTATTGCTGTTGCGGTTCGATACAGTGCGACTCGGGCAACTGCTCTGTAACGAGTCAGTTGTGTGTCCTTAACTGTCGCGCTGTGATTGTCGAGTCAAAGGTCAGCGACCTTTGACTTTCTCGTAACCTCCAGGCGGTTACCCTAACCTCCGAGGTTGACTCGATGCTTCGATTGGGACTGCTTCGCTTGGTGCCTTGGGTTTTGATACGACAGAAGCGCACTTAGGACTTATTGTTTCCAACATAACCTACCCCCCCCCCCCCCTCCCCTCGGTTCACCCACCCCCACTTTCCCGTAACCTGGGATTCCACCAAGGCCACTGAAGCCGGAATTTCGGCTTTGACAACTCCTGTGCTGGCACACAGAGGGCCACTATTGGCCAGGGTTACAGTTTCCTTGCTGGCACCGCCACCTCCGCTAGTTGGTATGTTTGTCAGACTTGACAACAAGGCCAGGTTGGCTGGAAACTTGGCTGACTGCAGCAACAATGACCACGATGAACAGCCTTGGGGCATGTCTGATGATGAGTAGGATCTGTATTGCGTGCAGCATTAAAAAAAACTGACCAGGCTTTACAATAATCTTACACTGATGCGACAGGGTAAATTTTTAGAAAGTTAAGAATACCCTGATGGGAAAGTTTTTCTATAGGGGGTCACACTGATAATCAGTTTTTTGAGCTAGGGGTACACTGATCTCAAGGGTATGTCAAATCCAAAAATTTGCCCTGGTCAGGGTTCTCGTTATCAGACCAATTTGGTCTGATGGTCTGAGTTTAAGACTTGATTTTTAGTATTCATCTTAATCCTAAGATTTTGTGTTTGTTCTCATCTGATCAGTAAGATTTGACTTTTAGGTTCGTATGATTTTTCCAGACGTGTAGAATTCTTCATCTGAGAACACAGATATCGAGTTCGGTTTCGTCTGAAACCGACATCTTGACCCACTAGGCCATATGCCCAGTGGACCAGAGGATAGGACCACAGGTACAGCCATTTGTTGCCCTGAATGCGCACGCGCATTCATTACGCGTGTCATGTAATGAATGCGCGTAATGAATGCGCGCATTCATTATGGCAGCCTCGCTGCCAGGAGTTTGTCGTGTGGCTGGCTGTCGGCGCCGACGCCAGCCACAGCCACGGCAACGCGTTGTCCCGTTGTGCCACAGCCATAGTAGGTTGACTTTTAACAGGAAAAAAAATTCCGTCTTATTTATCAGACTAGAAATATTATTTCAGCTTATAAGGCAGACCACGGAAGTTTCGTCGTCCGACCATAAGACGGGGGAAATTTTTTTCAGGGTACTGTCAGACAGCCCCAAAACCTAGCGAGAACCTTGCATTGTGTGCAGTTATAGTGGTGGTCAAGGCCAGAAGCCCAAGTTGTTTATGCTTTGCAGTTTAAATTTGATGGGCAGGGATTTCTATTGAGGGATGTGACAAGAGCATCTGTTTCGCCAAATTAGTTTTTGGAGCTCAGTACAGGAATTTTGGTCTAGGGTGTAAATACTCAACTCTGCATATAGTAGATGTTACGGTACCATAGATGCTTGATTTTACCAGTACATACCGTAATCTCCCGGATAGTAGACCCTAGGGTCTTATGTAAAATTCATAAAAAATAGGGGGGGGTCTTGTCAACGGCACAAGATTGTTTAGTACCCGGGTCTTATTAAATTGATATAATTTTTAAAGGTGTACGTAATCGAATGCCTCATTGATGAGGATGCTTGACATTCTTTTTCCCTGTTGTTTGGGCAGCACATGTGCGACTTCTGCGATGTAGCCACATCACATAGGGGAATCAGTTTGTGGCCTTCTCATTGGCCAAAATCGCACGTTACCACATTCCAGCATTGAGGTTCGCGTTGTGGCTCGTCAGCGTGCCATCCCACCCTGACACCCTGACACATGCACGGCTCGAGCGCAGGGGCTGCACGGTGGCCCGTGCAGCAACCCCTACTGTTCAATGGGAGGCATGTCAATCCTTTCACCCCTTGTTGCCCCCTGAATCTCTGAAATGCAAACCGTGAATAGGTTGCATTGGTGTCAAGCTTGTCTTGCTAGTGAAGCACTTGAAAAGACATCTTATTCCCATTATGAACTAGTGACAACCATAAGGAAGGGGGTCTAGTATTGTTTACTCCTCTAGGGGGGGGTACAGTGAAAACCTGCCAAAATAAAAGACCCACCCCCGTAATACAGACCCGGGGGTCTTGTATTCCGGGGGGTCTACTATCCGGGAGCTTACGGTAGAAATCCATGCAGGTAGCTAGGTACAGCAACGAAGCTACATTATGCTGTGACATTAACATGTGCTAATTAGGAACATCAGTTCTGCATCTTGCACGTTATGATTCATATGGAAGCATACATGCAATGGCATGGTACATCCTCAGCTCCCCCCCCTTCTCTCCCCCGCCCCCCCTTTCTCTCTCCCCCCCCCCCCTTTCTCTCTCTCCCCCCCCCCCACCCCAGATTGATTATCTGTGCGCGCGCTTTTCCCGGTTCCTTTCCGGGTTCCATTTGGTCACTCTGAACATAACCACTTCCTGTTTTCTTACATCCCCCCAGCCATCATTACTCGAACATCCGGCACTAGTTCTGTTGCTTCCACCATTACAACCACCACCACCACCACCCAACCTACCACCACCACAGCCCCTGCTGCCACTCTGCCCACCACCTTTACTGCTGCTATTGCATTCCTGGCTCCTTTGCCTGCTCTCACCCCTCTCCTCACCTCCACCAGTACTTGCCTCTGTGATTTCCGTCCCCAGCATATCTGCTTCAAGGCCCTTGAATCCGTCCTCATCAGCCTTCTCCGCATCCACATATGCAATCAGTAGTTTCTGACCAACAGCCGAGGTGGACCAGTGGAAAACAAACAGACCGGGAAGGATTCAAAGGAAGGATTGACGACGGCAAACGGGTTGGGCTTATCAGAGGAAAACACTCCTAATCAAAGGAAAGGAGGATGTGGAGTGATCTTGAATCCTTAACTGCTCCCAACGGCTACTTTGATTCCAAGACTCCTGTCCTGCGTATGCAATCAGCAGATTTTGGATCGATCGAGACCGAATGGGGTCAGCTGATTACATAAAGGGGGAAGGGGGTTGTGAAAGGTCCTAGGTTAAAAGAACAAGCAGGAACCAGATTTGGTTTGTTCAGACACGAAAACCATTGCCTCTTGCAGCACCGATTCTTGCCTCCTACGAGCCGTTACTTCATGCCTACCCAATCACACTCTTATAGGGATGGGCAAAAACAGCAAGAGAAGCACAAAAAACAGCTAATAAGCATGGCAGCATCGCACCTTGGCTACAGTGGAAGCAAGGCGAACAGTGGCATGTAAATCGTTCCATGTTGGAATGGCATTGTTGAGCCTTGGACCACTGACCAGAACCATGAAGCTGCACGGCAAGCCATGGCAGCACGCACAAAGAGTGAGCAGGGAAAGGTGGGGAATATGAGAGCATGTAAAGGGTGGAACAGGGGAAGGGATAGGCTGGAAGGAAGTAGGATAGTCTGCAGAGACACACACAAGCACGCACGTGAACGAAGATGGTTGAACCGAGAAGGACGAGCGAAGGAACCAGCAGAAGATGCAGCAGAAGCAAGACTTCAATAGCTATTGCAGACCAATCCCGTCTTCGGCGGAGGTCAGTGAAACTTGCTTGGAATGCACGAGAGCGGGGTGATGTTGGTACGCTGTGAAATGGCTGCCAAACTGCAACCCTGGTCGCACCACCCAGTTTCTCCCTCTAAGCAGCCCATACACTGCTGCCATCGCCCCGAACCCTCTCCTCCACACCTCACCATACTGCACCAGCTCCTGATCTTTTACCTCCGCCCATGTTGCTGTTGGTCCAAGGGAGTGCTCATCTCCCCTGCTGCTATCTCTGCTAGCACTACCGCTCCAGTTACCATCCCCACCACTACAATCTCTCCTGCCGACATCTTCCGTGTTGCTGGTCTGCTGAAACCCTAGCTGCTGACTTGGTGCGGCTGCTGCAGGCTCGTCCCTTCGTTTCATGCTCTGCTGCTCCGCTCTTCGTTCCAAATCTCCTTCACACGCCGTATGCATGTTGGTATCATGGTCCACATAGACCATGCACTTGACATGAGTGCACAGAAACACCAGCTCTTCAAGCGACAGCAGAACAATGCAAGATGGAAGCTCGTTACTCAAAGGTATGCTGACGCTGCTCATGTCGAAGCAATCGACGTTTCCTCTCTTGGTGCTATGCTGCAAGATTCGGCGAATTGACGGGAGCATCCCCACTGCAACGCCTGCTATTGTCACGGTTGTCATTGCCACTAAGGCCACAACAGCACGGGCAGCGCTGGCAGTAACAGTGGCGCCTGGGGTGGTCGCAGTAGCAGCTGCACGAAAGCCTGAAAGCCAATCCAAGTTCACGCTTGTGCCACTCCTGGTTCGAAGAAACAACAAAAGCAGTGTTCCCCCTGCTGCTGCCACTGCTGCTGCTCCTGCTGCTGTTGCCGATGAAAAACCGGTCTCGTCTTCTTTGGCTGCAACAGGAACAGGGGAACGACAAGGGTCCAGAAACGAGCTTGCTTAAGAGATGGGACTTGCTTGGCCGGTTGGCTCTTGTGAGAATGGGCTGCCTTTCCCATCACAACACAGCCGTTGTAAATCAACCTAGGCTGAGACCAGCACGAGCGTAACAGCATTTGGGTTCAGAAAAGTGACGGGCATTATGCAATTTAGAGACAGATGAAATACCCGACCTCTATTTGCAATCACGGTTGTGAGAAAGTTACCTGCTCGTGCTGCTGAGTCTTCTTGTGTTCTAATACTTGCAGCGCTCTCTGCCTCCTCCCTTAACTCAGACTCCCCAGCTGTTTTCTCTACCGCCGGTTCACTCATTCTTGTTATCCCCCCTCCCCAATCCCCCATCTCTCTCCCGAACGCGGCAGCTTCTAACACAGCCGCTTGGGTAGCCGTTACTTCTGCTACCACTGCCCCGTCAACCAAATGAACTCTCAAAGGCCCTAGTCTAGCCAATTCCTGGAGCAGCGACGGCATCGGTTGTGCCTTGGCTGCTTTCGCAGCTCCTTTGAGCTTCCATTTCGCTAGAGGAGTTAACGCAACGGAGGCTAGGGGTCGCATCGCGCTTGTCGGACCGCACGGGGGAGACGCGGACACGGCTGGATCTGACGAGAGTGCAGAGTGAGGACCCTAGAAGGCAGATTGTGACCTTGCAATCGGTAACAACCCAAAGTCGCGGAGAGAAGTTTGGAACAGATAAGCTGTTCCCAAACAAGCAACCCGAATGCTACCTCCAGGCTAATTTTGTTGGTGCTGGATCATCATCATTCAGTCAGATGTCTTGGCAAACCCGGTAGCCAGCAAAAATTCGTACAACAAATGTCAACAAACTCAGGACAAACCCCAAATTGTACAGAAGATTCTATATCATAGGTTCGTATATAGTACCATATTATTACCACACAACACAGAATGATAAATCCTCGGGAGAGAGACACCTTCCCGATCGGATGCGTGCACAAGCATCAACTGCTTTGGCAATATAGGGTGGAATCTACGTCCTAAGGACTAAAATCTACACATAACAGATGCGTACGAAGACAAGTCTGAATCAGAGGTTTTTGCTCATTCCTGTTGCTGCCACAAGAGAGGAGAACTCTTGAATGCTCAAACTACCATCCTTATCGGCATCGTACGCAGAAAGAAGAGAACTGGCAGCCTGCAACGAGCATAAACGATGTGAGGTTGAAGACCATCTGAAAATAAAAAAGAAGTGCTTCACGGGTCAAACGACGCCAACCTACCTGACCCAGCAGCTCTGCAGAAAGACTCTTTCCCGCAGTAACAGACAGAAGATCCGTCAATTCCGAAATCGAAAGCTTTCCGTCGTTGTCGCGATCATGAAGCTTCATGAGTACTGAAATGAAGAACCAACACAAGGAAGAGCTTGAGATCCGACACGGAAATAAATATTGTAATGGAACAAATTTACCGCAGACTTACGCTGTATTTTTCCGTCTCTCGTTTTCCGCAAAGAGCGATACATTCCCATGCCAAGGCAGAATTCTAAGAAGTTGATTTTCCCGTTGCGATCTAGGTCCATAAGCGCGAAAAGACGAGGGACGTATGGGTTATTGGCTGCACAAAGAGAACAAAGAGTAACTTGGCCTGTCAGTAGTCTATCGGCAGGATTGCGTCTGCAAAATATTGCGAAGAACACCAAAGCTTACATAGTTCTGGAAGGGAAGAAAACTCTTCGAGAGTTGCCTCAGTGTTTCGCTTTCCGACAAACTTCTGGAATCTCCGTTTGAGCCTTTGGACTTCTTCATCAGTCACTGTAAGAAAGGGCGACGAGATGATTAAGGATCATTCTTAAACGGATCACTAACTAGAATAAGTATATGCGATGAATACTAACTGTGAGTCTGGATTTTGGCCTCCTCGACAGCAGCAGCCGATATACTGCTGGAATTCCCCATTGTAGACTAACCTACCTAACGGTGCGACAGTACTTTCGACGATATATATCCTAGTGCATCCTTCCGATCAGGGACTAGTTTTACTGTCAGGAAATATAGCTAGCTCGAGAGCGTTAGCGTAGTGACCAGTCAGCTCCTCCTAGAATCTTAGTCGCCGTGAACGCATGAAATTCGTTGTAATGACACACCCAGAACACGTGACCTAAAACCAAGTGAAACGATTAAGCAGAGACAATGAACGTAGGAATGAAATCGCTCGCAGCCGTTGCCAAATGATGGCACCACTCTACTTCCTTGCTTGTGCCTCCATTGTTTCCTAGGCTCGAGAAAAACATGGTCAATGGTCTGGCATTCCTACCGACCAGAACCGAGGAGGGGTTGCGGAAATGGTTCTGTTGTGGGGGGAATGGACTGTCGAGGCGCTGACATCTCCGATGTGGTTGGGTTTGGTTCAGACGGAGCGCTGTGATTTGCACACGAAAGCTGTTTCGTGTGCGAGAATGATGTGGGCGCGAGATAGAAATAGGTTTGGAGAGTGCAGACTGGTTTGCTGACAACGGCTAAATGGATGGGGGTGCGCTTCTGGCTCCTCGATGGATGAAGAGAGTGTTCCGTGTGACTCTTCGATTTCGTAGTGTATACAATGCTACGATTTGACGGAAAAAAAATCGGTATAAATGGGGTTTGTCTAGTGCAATTTCAACAGCAAACATCAGCAACTTCGGCGCATCCCTGAAAGAAAAGGCCGTATTTCTAATCTGTGTGGAACATATTAGTGTGTGGCAGAAATCCGCAATGTTGATACGGTGTCAGTTCAAGTGCACAACCTAGCTATGACATCGTGACCACGTGACAGAATTGGTTTGAAACAAGGTAGAATGACCAACCCTAAACCCTTGACCACCATAATTGTGGCACACTTCCAGTACCCAATTCCCAGAAACGCCATCATTCAACAAACCTCGAAATCTCCAACTGTCAATCGTTCCCACGCCAAGTCCGCACGTCCCAAACCCAGTGACAACTGACTAGCCTAGTCTAACTGGCATACCTCGCTCCGTGACGTAGATTGCTTCACAGGTTTCGGTACCTCATATTGCTTGGAGCAACAGCAACGACCTCATTTACGTGGTTCTAGACTTTCAGCATTCTCTCGTCTCCTTGTGGGTCATCATGAAGCTCTTGACTCATAACATGTTGCAGTGCACGGTAAAAGGGGTTACTAAAGGTTACCCGCTGAAGATTGAAGCGGTGAAGTACGAGGAGCGTGAAGCAGATTTCAATCCTGACTTCTTACGGCATCTGTTTCCAAAGATTGATTGGCCAGCACTAAGGGAGGCTGCTGAAGCGGTAGGCTCGCCGTTCCCTTCGTTCATCTGCAACAGGGGATACCTTTTTTCCTGGAAATGACATTATTGCCTTGTTAAAGTCCGCGATCTCTGTCCCTGCTTACTTTGGTTTGATTCCTCCAGCAGCTCTCCCCATGCTGTTCTGAACCCCATCTCGGTTCTCCCTGCCATTCGCTTCACCCGTTTCATTCTTCTCGTCACGGAATTTTGTCACTCTGACAATACCCCTCTTAAACCTCCTCCCTTCAACCCCGTTCTTTCTGTTTCATCCCTCTTCTCATGTCACCCGTTTTTCTCTTTCCATCTTTCAGTCGCTGCGTCCTGCCTGGGATGTTTGAGTTCTCAATATCCCGTGACACTTCTACTTCCTCTCATGACTCCTATCCACCCATGTGCAGCTCGGTGTGACCGATTTGCCTCCACAGGCAGATGCTTCCATGCTGGACGATGAGGAATTTCTTAGAAAGTTCCACCATGCTCTCATGGAGGTGAGTTCCACGAGCTAGCTCCTTCTCCCACCCCTCTCTCTCCCCCATCACCGTCTCCGACCCCTCTCTCTCCCCCATCACCCTCTCCGACCCCTCTCTCTCCCCCATCACCCTCTCCGACCCCTCTTTCTCCCCCATCACCCTCTCCTGCCCCTCTTTCTCCCCCATCACCCTCTCCTGCCCCTCTCTCTCCTCCATCACCCTCCCCTATCCCTCACTCTCCCCCATCCCGCTCTCCTACCCCTCTCTATTTTCCATCTCCGTGTCCTATATCCTTGCCTTCTTGCGCCCCAATTTTCTCCCAACGTTCCCCCGTACCTTTCCCCTCCTTTTTTCCTGCCCTTGGTCCCCCCCCTTCTCTACCTTGTCCCAGCCCCATTCTTCTCACATACCCGTCTCCCCGTCAGCGTAGTAGCGACAGATGCTTTCTCTATTTTCCTCGTAGTAGCAATGGGTGCTTTCTCTATTTTCCTCCACAAGCCCACATGTATCTCCCTCTCTCCCCCTCCACGTGGAAGTGCACACTTCCACCCACGTCCATGCGTGCGCGTACGTGCACAAGTGGACTTGCAGTGGCTGTCTTTGCCCCTTGAGGTTGTCTGTTTGTGTACGCATTGTCAAGGCCCTGTTCTCATTGATATACTAGCGCTGCTCTGCTACCACTGATACTCTGCCCCGTCCAGGTTCATTTGGAGGAAGGAGCTCTGATTTGCCCAGAGACAGGCCGCAAGTTTCCCGTGTCCAAGGGTATACCAAACATGCTGCTGAATGAAGATGAAATCTGACATTCCTATCATTCACATTTTACGAGACATCTTAGTTTGTAAACATAGTTTTTTGCAAGGAACCCAACCCAACCGAATGTTGGGAGGTCAGTATGGTCGTTACCTACGGTATTCACAAACTACTGTAGAAGCATGACCTACAATGACTGTTATAAGCTGGCTTGGTCTCAGCACACCACTCATTGACAGATGTGATGTCGTCACACATGGAAGTTGAAGTGAAACATGTTATACTGTTGTCTGAAGACACAATGTATACGGTTCTCTGAAGACACAATGATAAAGGCGTGTTCCTATGGCCTTTAATCAGGCGAACCTCTTGTCAGGCTTGCGTCACGTCACAACAACACACTGAAATTAACATGAACTTCAAACGTTTGACGCATTGAATCAGGCAAGTTTGACACCGTGAGAGGTTTGCCTTGTTGGGAACAAATAGTCTTAAGCGCCTCTGTCGTGTCGAAACTCAAGACACAAGCGGAGCAGCTCAAATCGAAGCACCGCGAGTCAACCCTCGGAGGTTAACGTAACCGCTGGAGGTTACGAGAAAGTCAAAGGTCAGCGACCTTTGACCTGACGCAGCGCGACAGCAAGGACACACAACTGACTCGACATTGAGCAGTTGCCCGAGTCGCACTGTATCGAACCGCAACAGTAAAACAGTTACAATTATGTCTCTTCATATTCTCTGTACTCATATATATATTCCTGTATCTCTTTGCTTTAATTAACTTACTCTGCCCTCACATACTAGCGCAAGGTGGTTCAAGGACTTTATTCAAACGCTTCCGCTACTACATTATTTACTCAGACTTTAACTCTACTAAAGATCCTAGGGCGTTCAGCCCAACATGCCTGATACCGTAAGAGACGCACTAGGTAGGAACACCTGCTTTAGGGACGGAAGTAGGGGGGTTGACGCTGTGAACATCGTGCCGAGTGTTGTACCAAACTGTTTACAATAATAAACTCGTTTCCATTGAACCGTAGAATTGTGCAGCAATTATTCTTTGACAGCCAGATACACTTGAACAAAGTTCAGTGACAAAAACAACCTGCTAGGGGGTCTGATGATCTTAAGGGAAATGTAATGATCTTAATGGAAATGTGGTACAGTATGCTTTTGACCAAGGGGCTCAAAACGGTACTTGCAAACCATTGAACAAATATTAATCAGCCAGCTATCCATCCAGAATCTCGAAGATCCTAGGCTGGAGAGCAGAGAGGCGGGCAGCAGCAGCAGGCAAGACCACCATGCCATCAAAGGCCAGCGCTGCAGGCACTGCTGGCAACTCTGACTTCTCCAACTGCTGCTGCTGCTGCTCCATATCTGGTTCTTCCTCCTCCCTCCCCATTTCCTCCTGAGTCTCCCAACGCTTTCCTTGCTCCTGTTGCTCTTTCTGTCGCTGCTGCTGCCGACTTGCCCGTAGCCCTAGTGCTGCTGTCCTGCGCGGATCAAGCATGGAAACCTGCAGGCAGGAGTGGGAGGGAAGGCAGAAAAAGAGATCCTTTGTGACATACCTCACAGCCACCTCACAACAGATACATCACTTCACAACAGCAGACTGACTCAATGAACACCATATAGAAAAGTTTAGTGTTGAGGCGCCTCAAAACTAATCACAACACTCACATTCCTTCACAACAAAAGACAGACTCAATGAATACCATATGTAGAAAAGAGCCTGCAACTTGCTCTCTGCCTTCAGCTCTCACTCATGGATAACCACCTCAATTCTTGCCATTGAAAAGGCACCGGTGCCAACACCATGACTCTCACTCCCTCACCGCACTCCACCCCTTGTTCTTCCCCTCAAATCGGCATTTCAAGTGTCACAACAATCCCTCCAAGTCGAAAGAAAGTGCAGTAACTCACCTCGTGGTGCCTCTTGCTGAAGTGTGTGGGACTGAGCTGCTCTGCAAGCATCTTCCTCGTCTGAGCGAATTCTTAAAAGTGATACTACAACCATCAACCCCACGCCATCTCACCACCACGAGCACTCACCTGGCGGTGCTTCTTGCTGAAGTGCGTGAGAATGATCTGCTCTGCGTTTGAAGAAGTGTTTTGAGACGTCTCAAAACACTCACCTGGCGGTGCTTCTTGCTGAAGTGCGTGAGAATGATCTGCTCTGCAAGCATCTTCCTCGCCACACCCACTGCCTCCTCCACCGTCGAATGCAGCTTGCCCCGCGCGTCCTCCACGTTCTCGCATGCAAACGTCCCCTCGTGCACCAGCAGCGTGCACCCCACTGCTTCCCGAGCGAAAACGTCGTTGGGCCGCGTGTCTCCAGAGTAAGCAAACGACCACGTCAAGCTGCTGCTGCTGGCGTTGTTGTTGTTGCTGTTATTGTTTGCAGTGGTGTAGGTGTTGATTGTGGTGTTGTGTGTGGCAATCGTAGTGGTTGATTTGAAGGAGGAGTGGGTGGTGCGTGTGGTGGTGTGGGAGGTTGTCTGGAGTTGTATCTGTCGCTCTGTTCGCTCGTAGGTGGCATAGGAATTGGGACCGCGCTGCTGCTTGTCTGCCATTGGGGCTTGCGAGAAGGGTGACTGCTGCTGCTGCTGCTGCTGCTGTTGCTGCAGCTGATGGTGTTGGCGGTGCTGCTGCTGGTCCTGCTGCTGCTGGAGTTGCCATGGAATTTGGTCGGTCTGCTGGTTATGGTTGGCCTGGTAACCCCTCTGCTGCTGCAACGGCTGTGCCTGCTGCTGCTGCTGCTGCTGCTGCTGCTGGGGTCCCTGCAGCAGCAACTGCCCCTGCTCCATCTGCATTTCCTGAGCACCCATTTCTGTTGCCACCTGCGGCCCTGATCCCACCGCAGGCCATGCTGACCCTCCGAAACCTCTGAAACTCCCTGGAGGTCCTATGCCTGGTGCAGCTTCGGGTGGTGGGGCTGTGGCAGACTGTGGCAGCACCTGAAGATTCACCTGGCCCTGTGGATCCACATGCAGCAAGATTGGCACCCCCTGCGGTTGTAATTCCACCTCCAGCTGGATTCGAACTCGTGGCCTCTCATGTTGGTGGTAGTGGGGATGGTTCTGAAGATGTTGCTGGTGCTGCTGCTGCTGCTGCGGAGGGGCGCCGTGGACACGCATGCTGACAGGCCCTGCCTGTGTTGCGTGCACTACTAGCTGCCCTGGATAGGGTGGCTCCTCAGTAGCTGTGATCACAAGTGTGTGAGGAGGAAGCTGCTGGTGCTGCTGCTGCTGGTGCTGCTGTTGCTGCTGCTGCTGCTGCTGCTGCTGCTGCTGCTGCTGCTGCTGCTGCTGCTGCTGCTGCTGCTGCTGCTGCTGCTGCTGCTGCTGCTGCTGCTGCTGCTGCTGCTGCTGCTGCTGCTGCTGCTGCTGCTGCTGCTGCTGCTGCTGCTGCTGCTGCTGCTGCTGCTGCTGCTGCTGCTGCTGCTGCTGCTGCTGCTGCTGCTGCTGCTGCTGCTGCTGCTGCTGCTGCTGCTGCTGCTGCTGCTGCTGCTGCTGCTGCTGCTGCTGCTGCTGCTGCTGCTGCTGCTGCTGTTGCTGTTGCTGTTGCTGTTGCTGCTGTTGATATTGGTGCTGCTGCCAGTGTTGGTACTGGTGCTGCTGCTGCTGGTGCTGGTGTTGAGTGTGCTGGTGCTGTTGGTACTGATGCGGATGCATTTGCGTTTGGGGCAGGTTCGACCAAGGCTGCATTTGCATCTGATTAGGCGGCGGCTGCATCTGATTGGGCGGCGGCTGCATCTGATTCCACGATGAATGCATCTGACTGCTCGGCGGCTGCATGTAATTGGGCGGCGGGTGCATGTGATTGGGCAGCAACTGCATGTGATGGTATGGTGTCTCCATGTGACTGGGCGGCAATTGCATCTGATTCGGTGGCATATGCATGGGATTGGGCTGCATGTGATTGGGTGGTGGAGGCATTTGATTTAGTTGCAGATGATTGGGCGGCGGTCGCATCTGATCTTGTGGTGGCTGCATCTGATTCGGTAGCGGCTGCATGTGACCGGGCGGCGGTGGCATGTGACCGGGCGGCAGCGGCATGGGACCGGGTCGCGGCGGCATGTGACTGGGCGGCGGCACGTGACCAGGCGGCGGCGGCATGTGACCGGGCGGCGGCGGCATGTGACCGGGCGGCGGCAGCATGTGACCGGGCGGCGGCGGCATGTGACTGGGCGGCGGCTGCATGAGACCATGTGTCTGAACGTGCACTGCTGCTTGACCGTGCAAGGTGAGACCTTGCACACCTGACAGAGAGCCGGTCTGCATCTGCTCGTTTCCTCCCTGCACACGCGCCTGCTGCACCTCATGCGGCATGCCCCTAGGTTGCAACTCTACATGAGGTGAAAACGGGGTTTGAGGATCCTCCAAACGCATCTGCACTCCCTGCTGCTGCTGCTGCGCCACTGGTTGCTGCTGCTGCTCTCGCTCCTCGCTTGCTTCTTCTGCCGAATGAAACCGTCCTGAACCTTTCTCCTCCCTCCTTCCCACTGCAACCTCTTCCCTTTCTCGTCCTTGCTTCTCAGCATCCTGGTGAGGAGCAGCCGGAGCAGCAGTGAGAGGAGGGGGGGCGGATGCTGTGTGTGTGGCAGTGGGGGGAACCGGGCCCCATAGAATCAGAGACCAAGAGTCGGCACAGTGAATGGCCGGAACAGCCTGGCAGGACAGCACACGACGAAGGGAACACAGAGGAGAAAGCTTGAGGAGATGACAATAAAAAAGATGACTTTTAAGAGACATCGGTGGAGGAGATGGGGGGGTGACAATGAAGGGGAGGGGATGGCATGGGAGGAGAAGGGGGGGTTGCGTTGAATGAGAAGTGGGCAGAATGGCAGGGGGCATTGGAGAAGTGAGAAGAAGAGAAAGGACAGGAGAAACAAGAACAGCGTGATGTGGACAGAATCAAGAGAGGATTGGAGAAACGAGGTGCGGAGAGGTGAGCGAAAGAAAGAAAACGAGAGGAGAAGAGAAGAGATTGACACGAGGGGTTAAAGGCTGGAAATCGGACAAGCAAGTGAAGACTGAAACAAGCAAAAAAAAAAAAAAAAAACAACGACAGCAGCAGCAATGACAAGAACTTGAATCAACTGGTCTGGTTACGGGGAAACGTCACCTTGATACTGCTCAAGCCCAGCTGCTTTAGCATTCGCTGCTTCAAATAGTCCACAGAAACACCAAACTGCTGATGATGCTGATGACGATGCTGATGGTGATGATGGTGGTGCTGATGCTGGTGCTGCCGGTCCCTCGCACCTCTGCTGTGCGGCGGCACGGAGCGAGAGAACACACTGAAGTTGCTGCAGTGCACAAAGTGGTACGGAGGGAAGGGCAGCGCCACCGCCGAATACGCTGCCGATATCTGCCACACAGGCGAGAGAATGGGAGTGGGGGTTGGTGGTTGGGGTTTTGGGACGTTTCAGAACTCTACAGGCTGTTTCTGAGAATTCTCAAAAACAACCAGCGACGCCATTGAGTATGTGGCCATATCTGCCACACAGGCGAGAGAACGGGGGGTCGGTGACTCGGTGAAGGTGGTTTGGGGTTTTCAGACATTTTCGAAACTCTAAGGGCAGTGACGTTGCCGAATATGCTGCAAGTATCTGCCGCACAACAGAGAGAAACGAAGCTAGGAGGTGGATGGGGAGGAAAGGAAACGAGGCTGGATTTGATACGAACGTGAGAGAGTGGGGTGGAAACACGAACTGGCGGTATTTAAGAATTAGAGAGATTTGAGAAGGATAAGAGGGAAACGTTGGCCGAGAGAAAAAAAAACAAAAGCAGAATTGAGCGTTTGAAGAGAAGAGCAGAGCGTGTAGGGGAGGACAGGGGAGAGAATTGGGGTTGAAAGGAAGGCGAAACAGAAGGCAAGATTGGAAAAGGACGGGAGGAAGGGGGAGAACACCAGACATGAGGAAAGGAGGGAGGAAGAGAGAAAAAGAGAAAGAGAGATGCATTTGCTTCACCTCGGTAAGCCATCTTTCAGCCAAATAAGGACCAACAATGAGCATCGGTTTGACAGAAATTGTTGCCACTGCTCCTCTGCTCACATCCACATGCGCAGCCCCAACTCCCTTCCACCTCCCGCTCTCCCTATCCCTCTCCCTCTCCGTCTCCCTACCCCACTCCCTCTCCCTCTTCCTTCCGCTCTGCTGCTGCTGCTGCTGCTTCTCCAAATCTTCCGCCCTGCTATAGCTCTTGCTCCTGCCTTTCTGAATCGCCTTCCCACACACAGAGCAGCCCCACTCTCTCTCTCCCTCCTCCACTTCCTCCTCCTTCTCATCATTCAAACTACTGCTTAGTTTTCCATCCTCCCTGTCGTTCAGCTCACTTCCCGTACCCTGCTTGTCACTTACTCCTCCTCCATCCCCCACCCGACGTCTCTTTTCTCGGCAATGTCTCTCCCTGTGCTGCTTGCCCTTCTGCAGATCAGCTTTTGGAAACTTGCACTGACAGTAGCGGCCAAAGCCGTTGATCTTCCTACCTCTCTCCTGAGCCTCTTGGTACCCAAACAGGATCGGCACAAGCCCGAGCATGTGGTCTGCATGTTTGTGAGACACCCAAACCACAGACAGCCGCCGAAGCTCGTCCCAAACCTGCCGTTCTCCGAACCTCCGCTTGAGCGCCCCCAGCGTCCCCGAACCTGCATCCAGCAAAGCGTTCTGGCCTGTCACTGTTGACCGAAGCAGAATGCCGCTGGCTCCCCGAAGCCTGTCAGGCTCGGCTGAGCCTGTTCCAAGGAAGGTCACTTCTAATGGGCAAATGGGAGTATTGCTCGGAGGAGGATTGGAAGTGGTAAGAGGATTTGGAGGAGGGGAGGGGGAGGGAGGGGGGTGAGGAGGCGATGCGGCCTGATTTCTGTTTAGTGGTGCAGGAAAAGCAGCAGAGGCAACTGCAACAGCAGGCGCGACAGGAGCAGGCACAGCAGGAGCAGGAGCAGGAGAAGGAGAGGGAGAAGGAGAAGGAGCAGGAGCAGGAGCAGGAGCAGGAGCAGGAGCAGGAGCAGGAGCAGGAGCAGGAGCAGGAGCAGGAGCAGGAGCAGGAGCAGGAGCAAGAGCAGGAGCAGGAGCAGGAGCAGGAGCAGGAGCAGGAGCAGGAGCAGGAGCAGGAGCAGGAGCAGGAGCAGGAGCAGGAGCAGGAGCAGGAGCAGGAGCAGGAGCAGGAGCAGGAGAAGGAACTTTCGCTCCTGCCATACGAGCCCGCAACCGCGGGAAAAGCGGTGGTGGTGCCGCAAGCCTCGGAGGGACACCTGCTGCTGGTGCTGGTGCTGGTGCTGGTGCTGGTGGTGCTGGTGCTGGTGCTGGTGCTGGTGCTGGTGCTGGTGCTGGTGCTGGTGCTGGTGCTGGTGCTGGTGGTGATGGTGGTGGTGGTGGTGGTGGTGCTGCTGCTGCTGGTGGTGGTGGTGGTGCTAGTGGTGCTGCTGCTGCTGGAGCTGTGGCTGCTGGTGCTGCTGGTGCTATCGGCAGCACAGGGTGGAAAGGCAACGGATGCAAGGGAGCACCCATGGGAGGATACTGCTGACCCATCGAAGGGGGTGCTAAGGGTGCTGGTCTTTGAGTTGACTCAAAACTCGGATGCAAGGGTGCACCCATGGGAGGATAATGCTGACCCAACGAAGAGGGCACCGGTCTTTGCATAGACTCAAAACACGGCTGCATGGGCGCACTCAAGGGAGGATACTGGCCCAGTGCAGTGAGTCCTGGCCTTTGAGTAGACTCAAATCTCAGATGCATGGGCTCGCCTGTGGGAGGATGCATGGGGGCATTTATGGGAGGATACGGGCCCTGTGAAGGGGGTGCTGCCGTTACATGTCTCGGCTGGTTTTGAGTCGTCTCAAAACTAGGGGGTGCTGCCGGCACATATCTCGGCTGGTTTTGCAGAGAAATTTGCGGTGGTGGTGGCACGTGGTTGATCCAAGAGGCTCGTTCTGCTGTATGTGCTGCTGCTGTGGGAGGTGGTAACTGCGTAACAGCAGGTGTACGCGCAGCAAACCAAGGTGGTGGTATGTGGTGTGGCAGGGTTGGTCGTGGCAGGGGTGGCTGCAGCGGGGGTGGTTGTGGCAGGTGTGGTAGCATCACTGGTGGCTGTTGCAAGGGTTGTGGCAAGGGCGGCTGTGGCAGCGGCGGTTGCGGCACTGACGCTTGCAGCACTTGGGACAGGTTCGGTCGCAGCAGGGGCGGTTGCGGCAGAGGTGGTTGTGGCGGGGGTGGCTGCAACAAGGGTGGTTGTGGCAGGTTCGGTTGCAGCACTGACAGTTGTGGCAGGTTCGGTTGCAGCACTGACGGTTGTGGCAGGGGTGACTGCGACATTGGTGGTGGCACTGCTGGTGGTGGGAGGCCGACCTGTGGGATCACCGGTGGGATCACCGGTGGGATCACCGGTGGGATCACCGGTGGGATCACCAATGGTGGGATCACCGGTAATGGGGGCCGATGACGAAGCCATGGCGGCACTTCTTGTTTAGAAGGTTTACAAGGTTTAGAAGGTTTAGAAGGGGATCCTCCTCCCGTCATTGCCACTGCTACGGCTGCTGCTGCAGCTGCCACTGTGGGCGATACTGCTGCTCCTGCCGCTGCCGCTGGCCGTGCCACTGAGGCCGGCACTGCTGCTGCTGCTGCCGCTGTTGCTGCTGCCGCTGTTTCTGCTGCCGCTGTTGCTGCTGCCGCTGTTTCTGCTGCCGCTGTTGCTGCTGCTGCTGCTCTTGCTGCTCTTGCTGCTGCCGTTGCTGCCACATGCACTAGTGGTTCTTGTGGCGACTGCGGCACTTCTGGTGATTGCGGCACTTCTGGCAGTTGCAGAACGGGTAGCAACTGCCGTGCGACGGTCTTTTGCCCTGCTGTGTCTGCTCCAGCCCCCTTTCCCCTGCTCAGAGCTTCCCTTATCCTCTGTGCTGCTGACTTATTGGCCGAATCAGGAGACACATCGGCTGACAGTGAACACCCATAATTTTTCGGTGGCGGTGACACCTTTGCAAGTAGAGAAGAGGATTTATTTGCAGATGAAGCAGCAATCTCCTTTGAAAGTGCAGCAGAATTTTCCTTTGCAGAAAAACTTTCCTTTGCAGGTTGAGAAGACAGTTCGATTGCATGTTGAGGAGTAACTTCCTTCGCAGGTACAGCAGAAGAAGCGTCCTCAGCAGGTAGAGAAGAGGATTCCTTGGCAGGTAAAGAAAACGAATCTTTCGCAGGTAAAGAACAAGACCCCTTCTCTCCCCGCTCCACCTTTCCTCCCTTCTCCCCTCCCTCCACCCCCTTCTCTTCTTCTTCCTCTTCCTCCTCTTCCTCCTCCTTATCTAGTTCTATCTCCTCTTCATTCCGCATCGTCACAGCCACCACGTCCGTTCCAATACCCACACCAATCCCCCTTCTCCCCCTTCCCTCCATCTTTCCTCCCTTCTCCCCTCCCTTCTCCCCTCCCTCCTCCTCCTTCTCTTCCTCCTCCTCTTGCTCCTCATCTAGTTCAATCTCCTCTTCATTCCACACCATCACAGCCACCATCTCCGTTCCAGTACCCACACCATTCCCTGCACCAGTCCCCGCAGCAGACGACTTTTGAGACGTCTCAGAAGTCACCTCCGTTCCAGTACCCACATCATTCCCCCCAGCAGTCGCACCAGTCGCCACAGCAGCCCCCACAGCAACAGCAGCCCCACCCCTTCCCTCAGCCTCCTTGACTCCCTCGCGCTCACCTCCCCTCCTTCGGCCCACACCCTCATTCCCCCGTACGTCCCACCACCACTCCAGTACCCCTGTCCTCCCCACACTGGTATGCCCATCATCACTCGCTCCCACCTGCCTGCCATTCTTCTCCTCCTTCTCCTTCTCTTTATCCTCCTCCTTTTTCTTTCCTTTTCTCTCTTCCTCCTTCTTCTCCTTCTCCTCCTCCTTCTCCTCCTCCTTCTCCTCCTCCTCCTCCTCCTCCTCCTCCTCCTCCTCCTCCTCCTCCTCCTCCTCCTCCTCCTCCTCCTCCTCCTCCTCCTCCTCCTCCTCCTCCTCCTCCTCCTCCTCCTCCTCCTCCTCCTCCTCTTTCTCCTCCTCCACCTCTTCCTCCTCCACCTCCTCCTCCACCTCCTCCTCCCCCTCCTTGTTCTTTTTCCTTTTCCTATTCTTCCTTTTCTTCTTATTCTTTTTCTCCACTGCCACAGCAGCTGCAAGCTTCACACCTTTCCACTGCGCAACCACAATACCTCCCTTTCCAGTCACTCCCTTGCTTCCCTGCTCCACCTTTGCACTCTCCACCCATTCCTTTCCAGAACTCACATCGCTCACATTGGTCCCCGCGCCCCTCCCCTCCCCTGCTTCACCTCGCGCCTTCTCCCCTGCTTCACCTAGCTTTGCCTCCAGAGCCGCCAGTTCCGCCTTTCGCATTTCCAACCGTCTCAAAACCTTCCTCTCTTGCTTGTTAGACAACAGTCCATTCTCTCCCCCTTGGGTCTTCCATCTCTCCTCTAACTTCAGGATTCGTTTGGCCGTCCATTTTATACCACTCAGTATCTCTCCCTTCTCCCCTGCTTCACCTTGCGCCATCTTCCCTGCTTCACCTTGCGCCTTCTCCCCTGCTTCACCTTGCCCCTTCTCCCCTGCTTCACCTTGCCCCTTCTCCCCTGCTTCACCTAGTGCTGCCTCCAGTTCCGCCAGTTCCGCCTTTCGCATTTCCAGCCGCCTCAAAGTCCTCTTCTCTCGCTTCTTAGACCACTTTCCACTCTTCCCCCCTTTGTTCTTCAATCTCTCCTCTAACTTCTGGATTCGGTGGGCCGTCCATTTAAGACTTCGCAGCATCTCTTCCTTCTCCTTCCCACCCTCTGCCCCATCATCTCGTCCCTCACCCCCTTTCAGTGCCTCCTGCAGCTGTCGCTCTCTCTCTTCGTCCCGTTTTGCTCGCTTCTTCTCCTTCGCTCTCTTCCTTTTTGCCATTTTCATGTCGAGTTTCATTCCCTTTTCCCTTTCCCTCTCCTTCTCCCTTTCCCTCCCCTCTGTTGTATTCGCACTTTCCCTCTCCTTCTCCCTTTCCCTCTCCTCCGCCCTTTGCCTCTCTTCTATTGCCCTCTCCTCTGCCCGTTTCCTCGACTTCTCCCTAATTATCGCATTCTGATTTAGTCTCATCTTCTCCTTTCCAATCTCCTCCCTCGTTAACTTTGCCAACTTATTCCTCTCCTTAATCCTTCTCATCGCCTCCGCATGAATTCTCGCCTTCTCCTTTTTCCTCTCCTTATTCCTTCTCATCGTCTCTGCATGAACCCTTGCCTTCTCCCTTTTCCTCTCCTTCTCCAGCGCCCTTCTCCTCTCCATCTCCCGTCTCCTCTCCTTCTCCCTTTGCCTCTCCAGCGCCCTTCTCCTCTCCATCTCCCTTCTCATCTCCTTCTCCCTTTCCCTCTCCTTCGCCACCTCCCTCGCTTTCCCTGTAGGCCTCCAAACCTTCTCCCTATAATCCTCCCTATCTCTCTTCCTTAGTTCCTCTTCCTCCTCCCGCATCGATCTCCCAGCCACCTCTTCCCAAACCTTCACAGGATTCACAACCTCAGGGCACTTTTCATGACTCACACATGCCCGAACCACCCTACGGTTCCCCCAACATCCCCACCCTCTCCCGCCCCACCCCTGCCCTCCCTCCTCCGCTCCCCCCTCCACTCCTCCGAAACCCACTGCTGCTCCTTCCTTGCTCCCGCCCACGCCATCCTCAACCATCTCTCCAACGCCAATCAGAACTTGCATTTGCAACCTCCCAGCCACCACACCACCGTTACTTCCCCCTCCACACCCTAACACCCCCTCATCTAAATCCTCCTCCTCCTCCTCCTCTCTCCCCCCCTCACCCTCCTCCTCCGTTCCCTCCTCCATACCAGTCCTTACACCTGCCCCTCCCCCACTTAGCAACAGCCTGGCTCTCGCCGCAGCAACAGCATCATCCCTACCTCCCTGCCAGCCCGGCAGCACCCACGCCCGTTCCCCTTTCCCTTCCCCCATGCCTCTGTATCCCTGCTGCTGCTGCTGCTGCTGCTGCTGCTGCTGCTGCTGCCGCTGCCGCTGCCGCTGTAGCTGCAGCTGATGCTGCTGCTGCGGCGGCAAGGGGAAGGCCGCAGGGTCGAGGGAATGCAGGCGGCACAGCTGCTTCAGAGTGCTGATGAAACCATACTCCTTGGGCCCACCTCGCACCAGCACCTGCCGCACCTCCAGCCGTGGCTGCGCCTGCGAAGGCAGCTCCTCCCGAGCCTGCTGGAACATCGGTTGTCGCTGCTGCTGCTGCAGCTGCTGCTGCTGCAGCTGCTGCTGCTGCAGCTGCTGCTGCTGCTGCCACTGCTGCTGCTGCTGCTGCTGCTGCTGCCACTGCTGCTGCTGGGCATTGCTTTGATTTCCAAGACCCGCAAACCCTACTTTGGCAGGGTTTGACTTTGGCTGGGAGAGGCCACATGAGTCAGGGACAGTAAGCCCTTCTGTGAGCACACGTGGCGTTGCCAGCCTGTCAACGAGCATGCGATGAGCTGGCGATGCCAGCACAGCGCGCGAGCTGAGGTGGAAGGCGACTGTGAGAGGGCCAATGGCTGCTGGAGTGTTGGCATTTGGGACCATAGACACAGACACATGATCAGCATGAAAGGCACGAGTAGCCGATGCTGCAGAGGCAGAAACTGCAGCAGCGGCACCAGCAGCGGTGGCGGCGGTAGCGGCAGCAGCAGCAGAAGTCTTATCATTGCATGCAACACCACTAACAGGAGCAGCAGCTACAGTAGCAGCGCTACACACTCCTGCCTTACCACCTACCTTGAACCCACTACCACAGTGGCACAACCTCCTCCTTCCTCTCTTCCCACCCACCCCTCCTTCTGCCTCTCCTTCTCCCCCTCCCCCTTCCCCTTCCCCATCAGCACCCTCCTCGCACCCACTGCAAACCGACGCGATAGGAAGCAGCGCAGCAGCTTCCTCCGGGCTGCTGCAATCCGTTATAAGCACTGCAGTGCCAGCCTGCTTAAAGAAAATCACATAGCCCACTAATTGAGGCACAATTTTCCCAGCCATGGCCATGCGCTCGCGCCTGTTCCCCCCACCACCCCCACTGTGCCCCAACCCGCCCACCAGAGGGGTATAACTCGTAAATGGGTTGCTGATTACAGAGAGGGGGCTGAAGCACCCGCGGGCAACAGCAGCCTTTTCGGTGGCAGAAGAAGCAGCAGATGCTGCACGGGCAGCAGCACGGGTAGCACGGGCAGCAACAGGGTCTGCGGTTGCATTCGCGTTGCTCGCTGCTGCTTCCATTGCTGTACCTTGCGCTGATGAAGCAGCAGCAGCAGCAGCAACAGTAGAGGCATGACAACGACCAGCACCAACACCAGAAGTAGGACCAGCAGCACCGCCACCACCAGCAGCAGCACCAGAAGCAGCAGCGGGGGCAGCAGCAGCAAGAGCATCTGCAACTGAATGTACAGAGCCGTCAACACGGCTGATCGCATACAGAGCGTTCTCAAAGGTGCTCACCAGCGGCAGACTGTCTAGCACTGGAAGAGGCACCACAGCAGCCAGAGGAGGAAGAGCCACAACCTCAGCACGGCCCCCTCCTCTTTTACCCCCCGTTGCCCTGAGCACCCTCCCCCCTGAATCAGCCCGTTTCGCTTTGCGCTTTGATCCGGTTCTCTCTGGCTTCGGCTTTGAGGCGGCTGAGGGTTTTGAGGAGGTTTTGATAGCAGCCCATATGGAGGAAGCGGGAGCAGCGGAGGGCGAGGTGGACGCGGGTTTGATGACTTTGAGCGACGTTTCTGTGTCAAACCCAGAGAAAGACACGGCCAGCGTGTGAGGTGTGCTGCTCTGATCGGCAGCCTTCCCTTCTTTGAGCTTTCGCCGCTTTGACCGCCCTTCCCCGACTCTCCAAACCTTGCCACCTTGCTGCTCCTCCTCCTCTTCCGCCTTTTCGTCCTCCTCTTCTGCCTTCTCCTTCTCCTTCTCCTCCTCCTTCTCCTTCTCCTCCTCCTTCTCCTTCTCCTTCTCCTTCTCCTTCTCCCCAACCTCCTCCTCCTCCTCCTCCTCCTCCTCCTCCTCCTCCTCCTCCTCCTCCTCCTCCTCCTCCTCCTCCTCCTCCTCCTCCTCCTCCTCCTCCTCCTCCTCCTCCTCCTCCTCCTCCTCCTCCTCCTCCTCCTCCCCCCCCCCGTCACTTCCTTTTTTCTCATCGTTCTCCTCCTTTGCCTCCTCCTCCTCCTCCTCCTCCTCCTCCTCCTCCTCCTCCTCCTCCTCCTCCTCCTCCTCCTCCTCCTCCTCCTCCTCCTCCTCCTCCTCCTCCTCCTCCTCCTCCCCCTCCTTCTCATCCTCCTCCTCTCCCTCCTCACTTCCTTCCTTCTCATCCTCCTCCTCTCCCTCCTCACTTCCTTCCTTCTCATCCTCCTCTCCCTCCTCACTTCCTTCCTTCTCATCCTCCTCTTCTCCCTCCTCACTTCCTTCCTTCTCATCCTCCTCTTCTCCCTCCTCACTTCCTTCCTTCTCATCCTCCTCCTCTCCCTCCTCAATTCCTTCCTTCTCATCCTCCTCCTCTCCCTCCTCGCTTCCTTCCTTCTCATCCTCCTCCTCTCCCTCCTCGCTTCCTTCCTTCTCATCCTCCTCCTCTCCCTCCTCACTTCCTTCCTTCTCATCCTCCTGCTCTCCCTCCTCATTTCCTTCCTTCTCATCCTCCTGCTCTCCCTCCTCGCTTCCTTCCTTCTCATCCTCCTCCTCTCCCTCCTCGCTTCCTTCCTTCTCATCCTCCTCCTCTCCCTCCTCGCTTCCTTCCTTCTCATCCTCCTCCTCTCCCTCCTCGCTTCCTTCCTTCTCATCCTCCTCCTCTCCCTCCTCACTTCCTTCCTTCTCATCCTCCTCCTCTCCCTCCTCACTTCCTTCCTTCTCCTCCTCCTCCTCTCCCTCCTCGCTTCCTTCCTTCTCATCCTCCTCCTCTCCCTCCTCGCTTCCTTCCTTCTCATCCTCCTCCTCTCCCTCCTCGCTTCCTTCCTTCTCATCCTCCTCCTCTCCCTCCTCGCTTCTTTCATTCTCATCCTCCTCCTCTCCCTCCTCACTTCCTTCCTTCTCCTCCTCCTCCTCTCCCTCCTCACTTCTTTCCTCCTCCTCCTCCTCCTCCTCCTCCTCCTCCTCCTCCTCCTCCTCCTCCTCCTCCTCCTCCTCCTCCTCCTCCTCCTCCTCCTCCTCCTCCTCCTCCTCCTCCTCCTCCTCCTCTTCGCCGCCCGTGTTCGAATCAATCATTCTTATCTTCTCCACCTTCTCAATTACAACCACATCATCCTCCTCACTCTCACTCTCAATTTTCTTGCTCTGCTCCTTCTGCTCTTTGCTCTCCTCCTTCTTCTCCTCGCTCTGCTCCTTCTCCTCTCTCTGCTCCTTCTCCTCTCTCTGCTCCTTCCGCCCCTCTCTCTGCTCCTTCTGCCCCTCGCTCTGCTCCTTGCCCATCCCACTGCCCTGCTCCGTGCTCTTGCCTTCACCCTTCCCCTGACTCATCTGCTGCTTTCCCCCATGGTGCGGAACAAGGTTCAGGCGGCGGGCACCCAGAAAGAGAGTGCGCAGAGCCTTTCTGGGGTCCGAGACCCCAAGAAAAACCTCATCCATTCGAGAGAACATCAATTCGCGTGACAGCCTCGAAAGTATGTCCCCTCCCTCACTCTCTCTTACTCTCTCAATCCCCCTCTCACTCTCCCTCTTGCCCTTGCTCTTGCTGTCTGCACTCTTCTTCCCCCCCTCCGTCCCACTCCCACCCTTGCTCTCCCTGTCTCCACGACTCTTCTCGTTCTCCACCCCAATCTCCATCTTGCTCTCCCCACCCTTTTTTGCACTCCTGCTTTCACTTTCGCTTTCACTTTCGCTTTCACTTTTGCTCTCACTTCCGCTCTCGCTCTCAATCACTTCAGGACTGGGAGCCTTTCTCTTCCCCTTCCTGCCTTCCTGTTGCGCTTTCCCCGGCTCCTCCGCACACGCCAGACTCTTCTCTGCACCCTTCACTGGCCCCGCCTTACTTGAATTCTCCTTCTGAGGCGCCTCGAAAGTCTTCTCTGCACCCTTTCCTACTGCCTCCGCCTTACTTGAAGGCTCCTCGCCTTCTGAATCCGAACTCGTGCTGCTGCTACTACTCGCCCTGGCCTTCTCCCTCTCACTCCCACTCCCACTCCCACTCTCACTCCCACTCCCACTCTCACTCCCCCTCTCCTCACCTTCAACCCCACCATCCCCAGAACTATACTCTCCCTCCGTACCATCTTCACTATCAGAATCATCAAAATCCTCCCCCTCATCTCCACCCCCATGCGCACCACAGCAACCTCCCACATCCCTCCCAGCAACCCCTGCATCCGCCGTCTCTTGTGCTGACGCCCCACCTCCCCTGCTCTCGCCCCTCACATCCCCTCCAGCAGCCCCTCCAACCCCCCCAGCAGCACCAGCACGGGCGGATCTAGCAGCCATGCGGAGGGCCAGGCGGCGACGGTAGCAGCAGAAGCAGAGGGAGAGGGAGGCGGTGTGCGTGAAGAGCGGGAGCAGCAGCACGTTCTTGTCTTCGAATACTGGCTGGTCCCCTGAATCCGCCTCTCGCACAAACACCTGAAGAGTGCAAGTAAGTGTGATGTACGCACAGGAGATGGGAAGGGGAGAGGGAGGAGGTGTGTGTGAAGAGAGGGAGGAGCAGCAGAATGGGAACTTCGAATACAGGCTGGTCCCCTGGATCCGCCTCTCGCACAAACACCTGAACAGTGCGGGTAAGCAAGGCAGGAGGGAATGGAGGGAGGGGGAGGCGGTGTGGTTGAAGGGAGGGAGGAGCAGCACGTTGCTGCCTTCGAATACAGGCTGGTCCCCTGAATCCGCCTCTCGCACAAACACCTGAAGGGCCAGCCAATATTAGAGAGTGAGAGGTTTCAAAGCACAGACGAAGCACCACCAGGTGGCGGGCAAATGGCTTTTGAGTCGACTCAAAAGGTGACTTTTGAGTCGACTCAAAAGTCACAGACGAAGCACCACCAGGTGGCGGGCAGATGGCTGTCCTTCAGTATCAGCTGGTTCTCTCTTAAATATGAATCTGATCCGTTTATTTAGAAAGTTACTTGAAACGTTGCACTTTAACAAGCTTCTATCCCGCAAAGTGCCATATCGCATGGTGGACTGTAGAGACAGTTAGCATCTGAGTAGACTCAAAGAACAGGATCTCACGCCACGCACCTTGGGGTGCTTCCATCCTATGGGGTGCTGTAGCGCATGGAAGTACGCAGCAGTTAGTTTCTGAGTCAACTCTTATGATTCAACTCTTCCGAGTCAACTGTTCCGAGTCAACTGCTCTGAGTCAACTCAACAAGCAGGCCCTCACGCACGTCACGCACCTTGGGGTGTTTCCATCCCACGGAGTGCCGTAGCGCATGGCAGTACGCAGCAGTCCCCGGCGGCCCGCAAATCTCCAGGGCCAAATGCCCCTCCTGCTTCAGCCGAAACAGCACGCATCCCACATCGGCCTGCACGGAAAGAGCAGAGCAATCAACGGCAAAAAAATAGACGATCTCATTCACTAGTAACTAGTTACAGACACGAGAAGATCTCATTCACAGCATTCGCAGCTCGCGTTTCTCGGGCCATAGGCGAAAGGATTCGCTCGATGCAGCAGCGGATCTAGTTCAAAATCGTATCAGATCCACTCACCGCGGCATCCGGGCCCAGGGACGTCAAGAAAGCCGCGCGCAGGTTTCGTTTCGGGCGCACGTGATGCTCCAAAGCCAATCGCGCGGAGCCATCTGGCATATTTATCAGATACTCCCCCCTTTGCTCCGCATGATTCGAATATCGCGAGGTGAATTCTCCCATGGGCCGCAGCAGCAGCGCGGGAGCAACGCCATCGGCCTCGGCGCAAATCACCACCGCCTCGTACGGCACGAAGGGCAGGTCCTTAAGATTTTGAAAGTTTAGACGATTCGGATCCATTGGGTTGCGTTTGCATGGATCTCGCGGGAGCTTCCTCCCAGCATGTGATCAAGGATTAAGGTTTAAAAGGGCGGAAGAAAGGCGCAGGGACGTAACGGAAAGAGAATCGTCGGTCTGGCATGACTCAGCTAAGTGTGTCATAGAAGACGGAAGAGATAGAAGCAGGCGCCAGACACGCAGCGAGAAAAGAGAATCGTCGCTAGCACCCACTAGAGATCATTCTGGGATGTGAGGTGAGGATTGGATTATGGGATAATGGGAGTCTTGGAATCCTCTGAACAGTCAGGAACCGTCAGCGGGACGATATTTACGAGAGGACAGAGACAGATCAGAACTGCTGGTGTTTTCTGTTGATGCCTCACGCAGCATATTTATACTCGTTATTATGAATAGTGCAGGACGTACATGATAAATGTGTAAAACTTTTTCGTATCCTACCGTTTGGGAAGTGGCTTGGAGGTGCTAGATTACTTCGCGCGTTACGCTAGAACTCTTTTCGCCATGTAACTTTCGCACGCACCACGTCGCTCACATGTGTAACACTCCCGCTCTGCCTTCCACCATCCCCCTGCCCACTTCCCCCCACTGCCCATCTGCCCACCAGCCTCACCACAGCCATGAACCAGCCCACTGTTGTGCTGCACACCACCGCCACGTCGGGCAGCATTGCGACGACCAATGACCGCGCGACGACGTTCCCCCCTGAAATAACTGTACTGTAGCCCAACACAAACTCCGACCCGACACATCATCACAATACACCGACAGTCTTCGCAAGTTGAGCCCCCACCTGGATCTGGACCATATCTTCTGCCTAGTTAAACCAGATCGAACCAGGCGAAAACCTTTAAAACCGATTTAAGATCCTCATACAATAGTTTTAAAGGTCCGTTTTGTCAGGGTTTTTGCGGGCGGAGCTGGACGCGGAACGGAATGTCGAGGGCAGTGGGTGTGAGCACGATGAACTGTGCAGGTTGGTGCGCAGGAGAAGGAAATGAAGAAACAGCAGAACAGAAGGCATTTGGTACAGTACAGTTCTTCCCTTCTCCCCCTTCCCCTCACCTCTCTCCACCACTCCCCATTCCCTCTCCCCTCATATCCCTCTCCCCTCTCCTGCTTTGGTCCGCGTATGTACTTGCTCCCTTCACCGAAAAGACCACAGTGTTTTGTGGGGGGAGCAAGAATGGAATGGAAACCCTAGTCCCAACCCACTATTATAAGACAGAATTGCGCCGATTAGGTTGCCATCGGACGGACTCTAACCTTACGCTTCCGTTCCCAGAGACCATTGCGAGAGACTAGCGCTCCGAAGCTTCCAGTCGCGAGCATCTCTTACTGTCCTTAGAAACATCCCGACAGCTCAGTTCAGTTCTGAGATATTCAGGGCCGCAAGAGATTTTCATCTAACTTCATTTGGACTAGCCACTGCCTATTTAACTCCAGTCGAGCGAAGTTCCTTTCCCCCATATTTCCCTCTTCTCCCCCCCCCCCCTTCCCCTCCCCTCCTTCGACCGTAGAAGCCGCACGATGCCTTCATGCTTACGTAGCGCATCCGACAGCCAATCACGTTCGAGTCTTTCACGTTGCGCGTGCCACCAAAGTTCCCACCCGCAACACACCCTCCCCGACCGGTGTCAGCGGTCGCACTCACAGTCGCAGTCTCAGTCGCAGCTACGGTCGCAGTTTCAGTCGCGCGGTTCTCGTGCATTGGGAGTATCGTGTTCGATGGAGTCCTGCTTCTCCCCCTCGCGCCACTCGCACCCTCGATTCTTCCTCTCGCTCGCGTGCTTGTTACTAGTCGTCGCGAGCTGGGGTCCACATAGGCTTACAGGTGAGGCGAGCGGTGAGGCGTGGTGAGGTGAAATGAGGCGAGCAGTGAAGCGAGCGGTGAGGCGAGCGATTAGGCGAGCTTTCCAGTTTATTCGGTACCCATTCCGAGCTGACTCGACGTACTGGCACGACCGTCGGAACCTAGAGCAGGTGCTCCGCCATAGTCACCTTTCCGCGCCGCGCAGTAGACCAGGATTAGGTTCACTAGTGCCTGCTGGAAATGCGGGTGCAGAATCACTAGAAGAGGAGGGGGAACAACGTGGAGTACTGCAGGTGTGTGTCTCCGTCTATTTATAGAGCAAGGTGGTGATTCTAAGGACACCCTTTTTCTTCCGCTTCCCTTCCGCTTCCCTTCCGCTTCCCTTCCGCGTCCCCTCTCAGCAGTATCAGCGGCGGACAGGCACTCGGGACCTTCTAACGGGGCTCAACTCTACACCGTCCGCCTTCGTTCCGCGCCCTCTATAGTGAACTACAAGGGCGGGATCGCCGGCATCCCCGCTACAGCGCCATCCGATAGCGGCTCGGAGGAAGACGGTGGGTTAGATAGCGACGGCAGCAGCAGCGGCAGTGGCGGCGGCGGCGGGGCTAGCGCGTTGAGTCTAGACTCTCGTGATTCCCGCGCTTCGAGTACGTTAGCGAAGGCTGCGGAAACTATGGCTGCTCGTGCCGCAAATGCCGTGACTTCATTTAATAGGCGGTTTCGGGGGCGGAGAGGCCGCGGCGGGGCGGGGTGGAATGCGGGGAGGGACTTGGGGAAGCTTGCGGGGAAGTGGCGGAAGCGGCTGCAACGCAAGGTGAATGCGCGCGCCCCGCACGTGCGCCAGTTCGGGCGGTATTTGCGCCAGATGCAGCTGCGCGTGGCGCAAGACGCGGGGGTTCCGCTCATTAACCTGGTGCACAGGTGAGGCAGTGCGGGGGGGAGGGGGAAGGTGGAAGGGGGAAGGTGGAAGGGGAGGGGGAAGAGGGGGGGAAAAAACGGGGAAGGGAAGGGCGGAAGATTGTTGTGCGTAAGGGAAAGGACTGAAGAAAACTAGGAGGTTTTTCCGTGTTGAGGGAAATTGCGTCCCGCTCTTCTCCTCTGTTCGCCTCCCGTCACCTCCTCTTATCTCTCTCTTTCCCCCCAAACTTCTCCTATGCGCCCAACCCCCTTTTCGCCGCAGCTATCGATTCGCTTCCAACGGCTTCTCCGCCAAGCTCTCCCGCGCGCAAGTCGCCAGGCTGCGCCAGCACCCCGCGGTGGCGCAAGTCGCGCGCGTGGCGGAAATCCGCCCGTTCACCACCAACTCCCCCAACTTCCTCCGCCTGCCCGCGTCCCTGTGGGCGGGGAACGGCGGGGAGGACAGCGCGGGGGAGGGCGTGGTGATAGGCGTGATCGACTCGGGGTTCTGGCCAGAGCACCCCGCGTTCTTGGATAACGTGAGCTTCACATGCCTGCTTTCCCGCCTGCCCTTCCGCCTGCCCTTCCTTCCCGCCTGCCCTTCCTTCCCGCCTGCCGCCCTTGCTTTCGTTTCGCTTCTTCTTCATTTCTTTCCACACTCCTCTGCCCATCCCCATTCCATCCCCGCACTCCCCCTTCCCGCCACTCCTCTCTCCCCCCACTCCATCCCCCGCGCGCACTCCCCATCCCCCAGACCACCAAGCCGTACCCCGACGCCCCCCCGACGTGGGCGGGCGCGTGTTCCGCGGAGAACAGCGCGATGTGCAACCGCAAGGTGCTCGCAGCGCGCCACTTCGTAAACGGATACCTCGCGAATGGTTACACCGTTGACGAAACCGCGGACTACCTCTCGCCCAGGGACTCGTCGGGGCACGGCACGTGGTGTGCGGGGTGAGTGAGTGGTCGCCTTAAATGAGTTAGTATGAGTCGACTCGAAACTCGACTTGGTCTGCGGGATGAGTGAGTGGTCGCCTTGAATGGGTGGATGGATGGGTGCGTGCGTTGCTGGTGCATGGGTGAAGCTTGATGCAGAGGGTTCGTTCCTCTCTCTCTCCTACACTTGTTTCTCTCTCTCCTACACTTGTTTCTCTCTCTCCTACACTTGTTTCTCTCTCTCCTACACTTGTTTCTCTCTCTCTCCTACACCCTTTCGCGCCCCCCCATCCATCACTTCCTTCGTCTTCAAGTGCCGGTTTTGTCGCCTTCGTCCCTCCTCCCTCCCATCGCTTCCTCCTGTAAACCCTAAACCCGTTCTCCGTCACTCCTCTCCTTCACCCCCCCACCCCCCCTCGTCCCACCCCCTCCCGGCCCCCTCTCCCCTGCTCCCTCTCTCTTTCTTTCTCCCCGCCTTCCCCCCCGCGCAGAGTGGCGGACGGCAACGGGCAGCTCCCTTTGAGCGTCTCCGCCACCACCGTGCGCGGGCACACCATTGGCCGCTCACCTGTTCCCCCCCTCTCTCCCCCTCCCCGCCCGCCCCCCCCCCCCCCCCCTCCCTCCCCCCTTCTCGCTTCCCCTCCCCCTCCTCCCCTCCCCTCGTCCCGCGCAGAGTGGCGGGCGGCAACGGGCAGCTCCCCGTGAGCGTCTCCACCACCACCGTGCTCGGGCACGCGACGGGCATGGCGCCGCGCGCGCACCTGGCGATCTACAAGGTGCTGTGGCGGCAGGCGCAGACCGACGGGGGGGGCGACGGGAGCATGAAGCCCGCGCCGCCGTCGGGATCCATGGCGGACCTGTACGCGGCGCTGGACCAGGCCGTGGCGGACGGCGTGGACGTGGTGTCGCTGTCCGTGGGAAGTTTGAGTGATTACGAGACCTACTTCAACGACGTGCCCTATGCCAACATCCAGAAGGTGGGTGCTTTGGGGGTGAGAGGGGGTGAGAGGGGGTGGGAGGGGGTGGGAGGGGTTTCACGTCAGGGTTGAACAGAGGAGGCCAGAACTGGAGGAGAGAGGGGGGTGGTAACATTTCCTTCCTGACTTGCTTCCTCTACGCTCTTCCTCGCCCCCCACCCGCGCGCCCTTCCTCCCCTCCCTCTTCCCGCGCAGGCGGGCATCCCGGCGGTGCTGGCGGCGGGCAGCAGCGGTCCTCCTCTTGACTCCCCAGCAGCACACTCCGCTCCTGCCCTGCAATCGACTTTGTTTTTGAGTCGACTCAAAAGCAGCACGCTACACTCCTGCCCTGCGATCGACTTTGGCGTGCACCTCACGCTCTTCAACTTCTCACCCTTCTTCCCTTCCCCCCCGCACCCTCCCCTTTCCCCCGCGCCCTCCCCCCCCTCCCTCTTCCCGCGCAGGCGGGCATCCTGGCGGTGCTGGCGGCGGGCAACAGCGGTGCGCCCCCCGAGCCCAACAGCGACATGTACCGCACGCTCTCCAACTTCTCGCCCTTCTACCTCACCGTCGGCGCCAGGTGCGATTCCCCTCTCCTCTCCTGCTTTACCTTCCCCCCCCACGCTCTCTACCTTCTCGCCCCTCTACCTCACCGTCGGCGCCAGGTGCGCACCCGTCTCCCCTCTTTCCCGCCTTTATTGCCCTGTCTCCCCCCTCATGTTTTACCCCCTTCCTGCTCCCTCCTGCTTTACCCCCCTACTTCCCTGCCCTGCCCTGCCCTGCCCTGCCCTGCCCTGCCCTGTGCTCACCCATGCCCCCCCCACCCGTTTCTCCCCTAACCCTTCTCTCCCCTCTGCAGTAGCATGGGTCGGCGGTTCGTGGTGCGATTGACGCTGGGCAACGGGGCAGTCATCAAGGCGCGTGCAGTGGAAGCGGCTTCCGTCTCTCAGCGCGTGCCCTTGGTCTACTCCCGGAACGCCATTGCTCCAGGGAAAACCGTCTACCAGGTGAGTGAGACCACACAGCAGCAGCAGCAGCAGCAGCAGGTAGAGCGTAGGTTGATGTAGAGAATTCTAAAAAACGGCCCACAGCGGCAGAGCAGGCAGAGCGGCTGGGAATGCTTGTGTTTCCCAAAAGGCAGCTCTGTCTGTTGCACTGCACAGGACCCATTCTTTTGTCGTCTGTCCGACAGGCTCCTTTTGAGGCGCTTCAAAAGTCTGGGAATGCTTGTGTTTCTCCAAAAGGCAGCGCTGTGCCTGCTGTGCCTGCTGCACAGGACCCATTCTTTTGTCGTCCGTCAGTCCGGCTCCTGTGCTCCCGCTTCCCCTATCCAAGCCCCGGCACTCCCTCCTGTCCCGTCCACTCACCCCCCCACCCTACCCTGTCTCTGCCCCCGTCTCCTCCCGCAGGCCGATCTATGCGAGCAGGGTTCTCTCAACCCTAACAAAACGACCGGCAAGATCGTGATCTGTTCGCGGGGGATCAACCCGATTTGGAACAAGACTCTGGCAGTGCAGGATGCGGGCGGTGTGGGCATGGTGCTGGTGAATGTGAAGGGTGGTTCGTCCAATTTCCCGGTGGTTCCTGGGCCGCCCCTGCCGTATGTGCACTTCTCGCTGGAGCAGGCTGCGCTATTGGCGAAATACATGAAGAAGACCAAAAAGTGAGTGAGAGAGAGGGAGGGAGGGGGAGGGAGGAAGGGAGGGAGAGAGAGCTTGAGTGGCGTCTTGAGCAGGAGGAATGTCAGGTTCCGGGTTTTGGATTGCGGGGTTTGAGCTGTGGGGGGGTTGAGATGCTTGGAAAAAGGCTGTAGCAGAGGAGGAGCTCACATGTGGTAGAGAGGTGAATGAGAGGGAGGTGGGAGTTAGGGCCCTCGTGCTTGGTTGGTTGTTGCGTATCCATCACTTTTCTCGCTCTCTCCCTCATCCCCCCCCAGCACCTGCTCCTTGTCTCTTCCTGACCACTCTCCCCTCCCCTCCTCCCTTGTCCCTGCTCCCCCCTTGTCCCTGCTCCCCCCTTGTCCCTGCTCCCCCCTTATCCCTGCTCCCCCCTTGTCCCTGCTCCCCCCTTGTCCCTGCTCCCCCCTTGTCCCTGCTCCCCCCTTGTCCCTGCTCCCCCCTTGTCCCTGCTCCCCCCTTGTCCCTGCTCCCCCCTTGTCCCTGCTCCCCCCTTGTCCCTGCTCCCCCCTTGTCCCTGCTCCCCCCTTGTCCCTGCTCCCCCCTTGTCCCTGCTCCCCCCTCCCCTGCGCCCTTCCGCTTTCCCCACCAGGCCCCTCGCCACAATGGGCACAGAAGTAGAAGCAGCGTTTGACGAGGCACCAGCCCTCGCCGCCTTCTCCTCCACGGGCCCGGTGGCAGACCCAGACAGTGCGCAACTGCCCGTCTACCCCACCAACGACATCCTCAAACCCGACATTGTCGCTCCGGGAGTGAACCTCTGGGGAGCGTGGATATCCACCACCACGGACGGATCCGAGCCTGCTCAATACTCGCAGCTCTCTGGAACATCCATGGCTACTCCGCATGTGGCAGGGATCGTCGCGCTGATCATGCAGATGAATCCGGACTGGTCTCCGGCGAGGGTTATGTCCGCGGTTATGACTACGGCCACTCCCGGAGGTTCGCCCTCGGATATCCGGACCATGGTTGTGTCATCGTCGGGGGCGGCGGGGGGAAAGCCGGGGACGAGTGGCAGCGGTGGAGGGGGATACACGTACCGTGTGGTGAAGCCGATGAAGAATTCGTTGAATAAGGAGGCGACGGCGTGGGAGCTAGGTTCGGGGCATGTGGACCCGCCTAGGGTTGGCGATCCTGGGCTGGTTTTCGACGTTTCGTTTGACGACAATGTGAATTTTCTCGCCGGGCTGGATTTGCAGCGCGCCAAGGATACGTTTCCGAGTGTAACGACGTTTTCGCCGATCAAGCCTGCTTACAAGTTCAACCGGCCGTCGATTTCGGTTTCGAAGCTGTTTGGCGGGGTTACGGTTACGAGAACAGTGACGAATGTGGCTTCAGTGGCGTCGACTTATGTGGCTAAAGTTATTCCGCCTCCAAGGGTGAAGGTTACTGTCACTCCATCTACTTTCACTATTGCGCCGGGGGATAAGGTCACGTTTTCTGTGGAGCTGAAGGTTTTGAAAGGTATGAATGGCTTCTCATATGGGTCAATAACGTGGGTGGACAATAACATGCATGCAGTGAGGGTTCCTCTGGTGGTGCAGCCGTATGGGAAATTGTGATATTTGAGGTGGGCACAAACTTACATCTAAGTTGGGTGCTGTGTGCACCTTTAGTTTTGTTTCATTGATTTGTTTTTGGAACACATTAGGGCCATGCTATTGCTGTCTCTTATGTTGTAATTATGTTTTTGTTGCTCTTGTATTCTGTGTTTTGAATTGTTGGAAGGGTAACTAGATAAGCTCTCATGAGTTCCCTCGATATTGTTTGGGTTTAGGTGCCATAGTAGAATGTCAGGACATTTAGGCCTCCCTTCTTCGTATCATAAGCTTGACCATGGCGAAACTGTACACATCTGCGAATAGACGCAAACATTCATGTTTTGCGGCTGACATCGCAGTTCAGACAATGCGTGAACAATTCCCAGCCAAGCAAAGCAGCAGATGGCTGGAAGGGTTCATGCCCAGGGGCCAGGCCGCACTTTTTCTCTGGGCAGACAGCCCGGACACGGTGGCAGCAGAGGCTGGTGACGTGTTATGATTACGCTGGTTCATCCTTGTGGCCGTTTACGTACGCGCTTGTGCTGGTTCGTTGGGTAGCACTCGGGTCAGCGAACTGGTATTAGGAGTATTGTAATGTGACTCTGTTAGCTAAGCCTTCTTGTTTAGTAGAAGTCCCTTTCTATTCGTTAGCTTCGGCTGGTTCTTGCCACTGGACCTTACAAAGCTGTTTGTTGTAGCAGTGCAACTGAGACACAGGGAAATTGTTGGTCCCTCGGGATTTGTTTCTGCCTTTCATCCCCTTACCGTTCATTCACACCGAGAGCTCCTTTTGAAGTAAAGCCAGCCCCAGAAATCTGAGCTTCAAACTCCGATTTGCCTGACTGCTTGGTTCGAGCTGTCCGCTCGAGCTCCTGTCTCGACTCCACCACAGCCTCAGCCGTAGCTGCCTTGGTTGCAATCCAAGGGAAGAGACAGGCTGCTTTGTCTCCACCCTCTTCGGACCTATCCTTTCTCCAGTGTCCCCGAGGGGATTAATCAACAGACATGGCTGCGCTCCGTCACATCCGCTCCAGAACACCAGCTCTTTCCATCCCTCTCTCCCCGCTTCTCGCGTCTGTCCAGTCCGCCTCGCTCTCCGCCACCCACTCTTCCGCCAACCCCTCCGCCGATGCCTCCGCGTTCCCGCCTCCGCGCACCAGCCGATCGTCCACGTCGTTAACTTCAGGATCTGCTCTTTCGGAGCCGTCAATTTCCGCCAATTCGTCCGTTCAGTCCGTGAATCAAGAACAAGTAAGATCACATTACTCTTCCTACCTTCCGTCCAACCATCCGTGCATTCCACCCACCGCATCCATCGCCTTTTCCCGCCAGCAACACACCTTAGCGTCTCTCCGCGAACGCCTCGCCGGTCCAGACTCCCCTAGCCTCGGCGATTTCATCTTGGGTGCTCAGCGGAAGCGAGATGGGGATCAGGACGGCGAGTCCGGCGGAGACGTGCAATCTCAGCCGTCCGCTGGGGCCGGTCGCGGATTGGTGAAGGCCGACGCGGGATTGGGTCTAGGAGGCGTGTACGCGGTGCAGGCAGTGCAGCCGCGGGAAAGGCGGCGAAAGCCTGATTGGATGAAGCGGGAGGTATTGCCCGGAGGGGAGAAATTCGTGGCGATTAAGAAACGGCTTCGTGAGTTAAAGCTGCATACGGTGTGCGAGGAGGCGCGGTGCCCGAACCTAGGAGAGTGCTGGGGAGGGAGCGGCCCGGAGGGCGAGGGCGCAACGGCTACTATTATGATCCTTGGCGACACGTGCACGCGAGGCTGCAGGTATGCTGGCTCACTATTACCATCGAGACTTTTAAAAAGCGGTTGCAGGTGTGCTGGCGCTCCTGGTAATGCTGTTCCTACGCGTTTTTTTTTTTTTTTTTTTTTTTTTTTTCATTCAGACTGTAGGAAGGAGGCTACCTCTTATCGCGTCACAAGCCAATTGGTGAACCATGTCCGCTCCCGCTTCCCCACTTCCCTGTTCCGTTCCCGACCACTCTACCCTCTCCCCATCCCCACCCCCCACACCTCCCCCTCCCCCTCCCCCTCCCCCTCCCCCTCCCCCTCCCTCTCCCCCTCCCCCTCCCCCTCCCCCTCCCCCTCCCCCTCGCCCCCCCTCTCCCCCTCCGCCTCCTCTCCCCCCGGCTTTCAAGGTTCTGCGCGGTGAAGACGGCGCGCAACCCGCCTCCCCCGGACGCGGACGAGCCGCGGAAGGTGGCGGACGCGGTGGGCGAGTGGGGCCTGGGGTACATCGTGTTGACCAGCGTTGACCGCGACGATCTGGCGGACCAGGGCAGCGGGCACTTCGCGGAAACCATCATTCGCCTCAAGGAGCGCCGCCCTGACATGCTCGTGGAGGCGCTTGGTGAGTGCATTTGGGGCGAGGGAGGGAACCGAGTAAAATTGACCCTACTAACATTGAAGTAATTTTATCACTGGGCGCAAGGAGCGGCGCCCTGACATGCTCGTGGAGGCAGGCCCTGGGTGAGTGAGGGTGAGAGCAGGGGGAGAGTGGGGGAGAGAGTGTGAGGGTGAGTGTGAGAGGTGTGATAGTCAATGGTGAGGAAGGGGGTGAGTATGGGAGATGTGGGAGTGAGTGTGGGGGGTGTAGGAGTGAGTGTGGGAAGGGGGGGTTGAGGCATCAAGAAACAGTTGGCACTTAACAGTTGGCACTTAAGTCCCATGTGCAAGAGTGGGCAGGGTGGTGAGAATTGTCAGAGAGTGAGTGGAAGAGTGAGGGACGCGAATTAGAGAGGCGGAGGAGGGGGGTGAGGTGAAGTCGGGAAGGCGGAGTGGCGGAGCGGAGGGAAGGGTAGGGCCGGGTAATCACCAGCCTACTGGGCTGCTGCTAGGGATTTTGAGCATGAGTGTGCGATAGAACAATGTGGGGTGGGGTGGGGCACACAATAGGGGCACTCCAAAGACATGTGCTCAGCATAGCTCGTCCACTTCTGACATGACAGCCGAGAAGCAAGCAATATTAATGTTATCCACGAATGAAACATTTCTATGTAAGAAAAATTGTACGGCAGCAAGCTGTCACATCCTCTTCCCTCTCCCCCTCAAACATTCCTCACTCTGCCGCCAGAGTGCCTTTTCATCTCCCTTCCTCCTCTCTCTCCCCCCTCCACCCCCCACCTCCATTTCCCCCAACCCTTTTCCTTTCTTGGATTGGAACCCTCTCCCTTCCTCCAGTGCCGGACTTCCGGGGGTCAGCGGAGTGTGTGCGGCGAGTGGTGGACAGTGGTCTAGACGTGTACGCGCACAACATAGAGACCGTGCGCGAGCTGCAGCAGTTTGTCCGGGATCCGCGCGCCGGCTTTGAGCAGTCGCTAACAACACTACGCCTTGCCAAGGAGATGGCCCGCGAGGGCAGGGAGAGGGGCGGGCCAGGGATGCTCACGAAGACGTCGATCATGCTGGGATGTGGGGAGACCCCGGAGCAGGTGAACCGTTTGTGTGTATTGAGTCGGACTTCAAATGCACGCGGCCAGCCTGGCATGCTCACCAAGCTGTCGATCATGCTGGGATGTGTGGAGAGACTCCTGAGCAGGTGAGGCATTTTCTTGTTGAGTCAAAGTGAGGGGCTAGGGAGACACGCAGAGTCGCCTACCATGCTCAGATGCGGGGAGACTCCCGAGCAGGTGAAAATTATGCCTATGCTAAGCTCAACTTAGAAAAACAGGGCCAGGGATGCTCATCACAACAGGCCTTTGTGGTGGGATGCGGGGAGAAGGCGAGTGGTTCACTGAGTGCAGTGCAAGCAAGTGCATGCATAGCGTTCATACATAAAGTAAGTGATCTCTTTGTTGTCTCGTGCAATTGGATGTGTTTGTCAAACTCTTCTGACACTGCTGCATCCCCCTTCCCCCCCTCCCTCTCCCCACCTTCTCAACTTCCCTCTCCCAGGTTCTCAGCATGATGGAACCAGTGCGGGCAGCAGGGGTGGATGTGATGACGTTCGGGCAGTACATTGCCCCTTACACACAGACACGCACACCCTCTCCTCTCCTCCCACCTTCTCAACTTCCCTCCTCCAGGTTCTCAGCACGATGGAGGCGGTGCGGGCAGCAGGGGTGGATGTGATGACATTTGGGCAGTACATGCACCCGTTACACACACACGCACACCCAACCCCTCCCCTCCTCCCACCTTCTCAACTTCCCTCTCCCAGGTTCTCAGCACGATGGAGGCAGTGCGAGCAGCAGGGGTGGATGTGATGACGTTCGGGCAGTACATGCGCCCCACGCGCCGCCACATGCCTGTCAGCCACTATGTCACTCCCGAGGCCTTTGATCAGTGGAAGAAAGTGGGAGAGGAAATGGTGAGCTTCTCCGGTTGCCTGTGTGCCAGTACCTTGTGTTGCATGAAACTGTATGGAAAAACGGATTTTATTAAGTTACGCACGTTGATTCTTGCTGCGGGATTTGATTTTTTCTGTAGGGAGTGCCACACTGTGCAAGGTAAGAGGATCCTGACAGCCGCGAGTTGTTCTTGTCGTGCTTGTCTCTCATTATGCAGGGCTTCCGATATGTTGCTGCCGGCCCCATGGTTCGCTCTTCGTATCGTGCTGGAGAGTTCTACATCAAGGCCATGCTTGAAGAGGATAGGAAGCGACAACAGGAAGCTGAGGTTTCCGTGGCTTGTTGAATTCTGTTTAGCGAGACCATTGGTACGGTAGATGGTGTTGTCTCTTTTTGAAATGCTATTCTGGTTCATCATCACCCATATTTTTTTTTGTGCGATAGTGCTAAATGCTCTGCGGATATGTGTTGCGTTACATTAAATTTGTCGGTGCATGTCCCAGCGAGGGCAGCATCACCCATCAAAGCAGACCTTTCCAGAACACTTCGCCAACACCGTTTCGCCACTATTCCTGTCCCCGACGAGGTTTGTGACTCCACTCGCGGGGGGTAACTCTCCCGTAAATCTTCGTTAGCGTCCCCGCAGTTATGCCTTCTCTCCTCTGAACCCGATAACCTGAAACCCGAACCCCTCTGATAGATAATGATTTGCTTGTCTTAAGTTCTTAGCTATTCTTGCTATCGTCACTCGATTCTCCGTTCTTTCCGTCCTTGTTCTGCTCCGCGATTAGCGCTGCCTTCGCTCGCCGCCACAGCATCCACACTTGAAACGGCAACCATTTGGTAACTGCATTCTCGTCAATACAGCACATCGTAGCGCGGCACCGCATATAGGCATGGGTAGGAATAAGGGAAGAGGCGGTGGCGGGGGGGAGGACGGCGCGGAGGGGGGGCGGGGAAGCCATAGCGGCGCGCAAAACGGAGCGGGAGCGGGAGCGGGAGGAGCTGCGCCGAAGGACCATAAGAAGTACCGGAAGCCGAAACCGTGGGACACAGATGACGTGGAGCATTGGAAGGTGGAGAAATTCGACCCCGCGTGGAACCCCACGGGGCTGCTGGAGGAGAGCTCCTTCGCCACGCTGTTTCCGCAGTACCGAGGTGCGAGTGCGACCTTCTATATAGCGAGGTGCGCTGTAGCGGGGTGCGACGTCATAGCGAGGTATGCTTCTGTGTCGTAAATGCGCGGAGTTGGAGTGCGCTCTACGGAGGTGCGCTTCTGTATCGAGGTTGGGACGCTGTTTTGGGAAGCGCTTTTTATCGCGCGGTGCGCTGCCGTATCGAGGTTACACGTTTTTCCGCCTTACAAAATTCTCCCCCATCCTCGCCGCCACTTCCCCGCCCCCGCTTTCCCCCCACCCACACCGACTCCCCCCTCCCCCCCACCCCGCCAACCCCTCCTCCCCCGCCTTCCCAGAGAAATATCTCCGCGAGGCGTGGTCGGAGGCGATTTTAAACCACCTTAGAAGGCTCCCTTCTCCCCTGCTCTCGCCCTTCCCCGCTCCCCCTCTGCCCCGCTCCCCCCCTCCCCCTCCCCTTCCTGTTTCAGAGAAATATCTCCGCGAGGCGTGGCCGGAGGTGACGCGCGCGCTGAACGAGTTCGGCGTGGCGTGCGAGCTGAACCTGGTGGAGGGCAGCATGACCGTCAAGACCACGCGCAAAACGCGCGACCCCTACATCATCGTGCGCGCGCGGGATCTCATCAAGCTGCTCTCGCGCTCCGTGCCCGTCACGCAGGTGGGCGCTCGTGGGGTTTGGAATTAGTGCGGGGGTGAGTTTGGTGGTCTTGTTGTGGATGGGGAGGGAGGGGTAATAAAGGGGGTGGATATGATTAAGCTGCTTTCGCGCTCCGTGCCCGTCACGCAGGTGCGCGGCTGTGAATGTGGGTGTGTGTGTATTGTGGTTGTTTGTTCACACAAGAACGCTCTCATACCCCTGCATCAACCACGCCCCTGTCTCCCTGCCCCTCCGTCTCCCCCCTTCCCTGTCTCCCCTGCCCCCTGCGGGCATGGCAGGCGTTGAAGATCCCGGACGATGAGACACACTGCGACATTATCAAGATTGGCGGGATGGTCCCCTCTCTCGTCCTATATCCCTGTCCCTGAGCGTGTTTTTTGAGAATTCTCAAAAAACACCCTCTCTCGCCCTATATCCCTGTCCCTGAGCGTGTTTTTTGAGAATTCTCAAAAATCACCTCTCTCGCCCTATATCCCTGTCCCTGAATCCCACCCTGTCCCCCTTCCCCCTGGCCTGCTCGCCCTCCTGCTGCCCTGGCTGCGGGCATGGCAGGCGTTGAAAATTCTGGACGATGAGACATACTGCGACATTATCAAGATTGGCGGAATGGTTCGCAGCAAGGTAACTGCCATTTAGCCATGCACTGTCACCGTCACTCTCTCTCTTCCACCATCGGACGTAGCTAGCATCTCGTGAGAAAAGAACTGTTGATGTTTCCCCCCGTTTTCTTCATAACTGTTCTTCCCTCCCTTCCCCTATCCTCCTCTCCTTTCCTCGCTCATCCCCATCGTCCCCTCCTCTTCTTCCCCTTCTTCTCCCCCGTAACCTACTCAACAACCTCCTCTCTCGCTCCCCCGCTCGCCCTCGCATCAACAGGAGCGGTTTGTGAAGCGGCGGCAGCGGCTGCTGGGCCCCAATGGCTCCACGCTCAAGGCTATCGAGCTGCTCACTGGCTGCTACGTGCTCGTTCAGGTGCGGTTCTGTGCGGTGCTGTGCTGGGGACGAGCCATGATGTGGCCTGGCCGTGCTGTGCTGTGCCGAGGGACAGAGGTGCCGTACCTCTCACCTCTCCCTCACCTCTCCCTCATCTCTCCCTCATCTCTCCCTCACCTCTCCCTCACCTCTCCCTCACCTCTCCCTCATCTCTCCCTCATCTCTGTCCCTCCCACGTTTGTTGCTTCCCTATGTTAAACTCTTCTTAACTCCCATGGACCATCACCCATACCGCCATCTCCCACCACCCTTCCCTCTCACCACCCTCACACCCCCACTCTCATGGCCCTCCCACCGCCCTCTCATCACCCTCTCATCACCCTCTCATCACCCTCTCATCACCCTCTCATCACCCTCTCATCACCCTCTCATCACCCTCTCATCACCCTCTCATCACCGTCCATCCCCACGGCAGGGCAACACGGTGTCAGGAATCGGCACGCCGCGGGGGCTCAAGGCAGTGAGGCGCATTGTGGAGGACTGTATGAAGAACATCCACCCCATCTACCACATCAAGGTGCGCTCTGCTCCATGCACGCATGCATGCAGCATGCTTGTGGCTTGGGGCATGACGGTGCGCTCTGAATGCATGCATGCATGCATGTAGCCTAAAATAGGCTACAAGTCAAATACGCATCGCTCTGCTGCATGCAATTGTGGCATGGGGCATGAAGGTTGCCCTCTGCACTGCATGCATGCATGCATGGATGGATGTATGTACATATGTATGCACGTATGTATTCCACTGCATACACTCCCTCACCCCTCCCTCACTCCTCCCTCGCCTCCCCACACCTCTCCACACCTCCTCGTGTCCTTCCTCCCCCTCCAGACTCTGATGATAAAGCGCGAGCTGGAGAAGGACCCATCTCTCAAGGAAGAGATCTGGGACCGCTTCCTGCCCACCTTCAAAAAGTAATATGCTGTTTAGGGGCGGGAGGGACAATGGTTGCTGGGGCAAATGGGTTGGTGACACGCATTGGGGGCACTGACTTGAGGATGGTTTGCTGAATTGACATCTGGAAGTGGAACGGAGAACTGAAACTGCTTTCTGCCCACTGTTTATCCATGCTTCCCCACTCTCCCAACTCCCACACTCCCCCCACACTCCCCACACTTCAGGAAGAACGTGCAGACTAAGAAGGTCAAGAGCAAGGCAACGAAGCCCTACACGCCCTTCCCGCCGCGACTTGATCGTCTCAAAACCCACCACCGTGACCCCACACTCACGCACGCTCCCCCCCACTCCCCACACTTCAGGAAGAACGTGCAGACTAAGAAGGTCAAGAGCAAGGCCAAGAAGCCGTACACGTCCTCCTTGAGGCGACTTGGATCGACTCAAAACCCACCACCGTGACCCCACACTCACGCACGCTCCCCCCCACTCCCCACACTTCAGGAAGAACGTGCAGACTAAGAAGGTCAAGAGCAAGGCCAAGAAGCCGTACACGTCCTCCTTGAGGCGACTTGGATCGACTCAAAACCCACCACCGTGACCCCACACTCATTGCCCACACTCCGCCCACTCCCCCCACACTCCCCCCACACTCCTCCCACACTCCCCCCACTCCCCCCACACTCCCCCCACACTCCCCCCACACTCCCCCCACACTCCCCCCACACTCCCCCCACACTCCCCCCACTCCCCCCACACTCCCCCCACTTCAGGAAGAACGTGCAAACCAAGAAGGTTAAGAGCAAGGTCAAGAAGCCGTACACGCCCTTCCCGCCGCCGCAGCAGCCGAGCAAGATCGATCTGGCGCTGGAGAGCGGCGAGTACTTCCTGTCGGCGGAGCGCAAGGCGGCCAAGAAGCACGCAGAGAAGATGGAGAAGCAGGAGGAGGCGGTGGAGGAGAAGAAGCGGAAGCGAGAGGAGGCATTCCAACCCCCCAAGGTGCGTCCTCCAGCCACCTGCCCCCCCACCTGCCCCCCCACCTGCCCCCCCACCTGCCCCCCCACCTGCCCCACCTGCCCCACCTGCCCCCGCTCGCCTCCACTCAATACCCCTTTTTCCTGAACTCCTCTCTGCGCCCCTTTCTCCGCTCTCCCCACTCCACCATTACAGCTGCGCAAGAACACAGCAGCAGGCAAGGCCGCACCGGGCAGCAGCAACAAGGTCACATCGGAGGACGTGGCATCCATGGCCAAGGCCCTCAAGGAGAAGACCAGCAAACCTGCTGCTGGCTCTCGGTCTGTCCAGGGGCAAGGTGCAGAGGCGTTCCTCGCTGTGCCTGTTGCTGGTGGGGATGGTGGTGGAGATGGGGATGGGGAGAAAAAGAAGAAGAGAAAGAAGAAGGCGGCTGCAGCAGATGAATAGGGGTGGCGATGATGGGTCGGGTATGGTCTGGTATGGTCTGGTCTGGTCTGGGGTGGAGATCGGGGGTTGAAGAACTGAAGGGAGCGCAGCTGCAAGGGTTGCTTAGTATTCTGCTTTTGAAGCTAGGGCGGTTGACTGGAGACTTGGGAGGCAGTATATGGCTGCTTCTATACAGATGTTTAAGCCAATGAACATTTGGTGATAAATACATGCACAATTGAGTAGTAGGTACATGCGATTTAAACTTTGGAAATCCCCTTGCCAAGAAGCAGGTCCACTAAACTGTCTGGGATAACTGTTGCGGTACTGCAAATGTATTACAGAATTATCACCACTACTACTGCAAATCGGAACTACTGGTGCAAAAAGTGTCTACAGAAAAATCTCTCCATTCTTCATTTTCCTCCTGTTTTCTCATTTTCGTAGCCAGCTAAGGTTGTGGTGAAAGTTGAGCAGGTGGAATCGAGTACTGTTTTGTTCTGTACTGGAAACTCGTTCGCATTTGTTGTGTTGTGAGGGCGGGTCACACTTCGTTCAATTTCAGTTCATCGTACGCGGTGAAAGACGATCCTGTACGTTCTAGAACGGTTTGCCTACTTCACCGCTCTGAACCGCTATCCACCAGTCTGAACTTTGATATTTCGCCTGAAAACGTACGTCTGACCCGTTCTGTGCTGCCACTACCACTCCACTTCCGCTTCCACTACTGATTGGTACCACGCTACTAGAACACTTCGCAATGCTACAAGTCCTACCGTGTGTGCACCACTGAACACGGAGCGCCGCTTCCGAGGTTGGTAGAAAGCGAAGCGAAGCACGGAGGCTGGGCTGGTCCTTGACTAATTCCGATACTACAGCAGAAGTGATGCCGTTTGGACACGTGGCATTAGGGCTGGAATCTGTTGTAGCCGCGCCTCGTGCGAAGTGATCGTTCTACTGTTTTAGTACTGCCAGTACAGTACTAGTACGAGTAGTGGGTGCATATTGAGTGGGCGCGATGGCGTTTCGAACGGACACCACACCTCAGCAACGGTATCGTTTCGAGGTTTCAACCGTGAAAGCATCCTCTAACCAAGAGCCGCACTGCCTTTTTGTGACAAGTCAAGTCACTGCTGACCACTCAGCTAGTCTTGGAGAATTCTCAAAACTCGCTGGCCACGCAGTTCGGAATTTCTCACCGTTAGTTCTTTATCGCGCAATCATCCTAAAATCCCATGATGCGGTTTACACCACGTGTAGCGAAGCCACCGCGCGCACTGTACAGTATCCCGACTGGCTCCACGTATAGGGAAGCCACCGGTTCTGCAGTAAGAACCGCCTCACGGTAATGTACTGCCTCTCTCTCCTCGATCCGTCTTGGTTTCTCCGTCACAATTTCCGGATTTTCAGGGGCTTTTGAACTTTCGCCTCGCAACCTAGCATCCCGCCCACTCAAGAGCGGGTTATCCGCCCACCTGCTTGCCAGATTCCGACTGCGCGGAAGGTGGCGTGTGGGGGGAGAAACAGCAGCAGCATGATACTGTAGTTCCGAATCAAGCAGCATGGTGTACTGAGTTCCTAGTTCAGCTTTCTCCGACGGCAAAATGTACCTTCCGGGAACATGATCCCCTCCCCAAGGGAGGAGGCTTTCTGGTCTAGACGCTTGCGGGAAACTTGCTGGACGCTTGAAACGCTTGGGAAAAGTGTCCCCAAAGGAGTCTTTCGCGCCTCTCTTCCGGGCGCCTCATTGGAGACACCATTTTACCACCCACGTTCGTTGCATGGGCTTCACGAGAATGTGGTCAGCATCAGCGGTGCCAGCGTTCTGCTCTTTTTGCGCGAGAGAAGCCTTCTCGGTTCTGTTGGGTTCTGTTGGGTTCTGGTCTCCACAGTCACTACAAGTACGGTAGTCACGCAGGCTTCTGTTGTGTTCAATCTCCTGAGTCCGCATTCCTCCAACCCCAATCCAAGCCAGAAGCCAGGTACTATTACTTGAAGTCCTGTCGGGTTCTTCAAGTTTTTCTTGAACCCGCTTCCACCAAACCAAAGTTATACTTGAAGTCTGACAAGTTGACAACAACCCGTGGTGCTGCGCTGCGTCGTCACCGTGGGGCCGCGAAGTACCACTCCTCTGTGTCCTTGCAAGTTTATGCGGCTCGCTCGGCTCATCTCGTCTCGTCTCGTGCGTGCGAGTGTACAACGGCTACTACTACTACTATCATATCATGGCCTCCACTCAATCATCGTGTCATCGCCGCCGGTGGGTAGAAGTGAACGCGGCGGTGATGGTTATCAGTGCGTCCGAGCAGCAGCACAGTGCTGCTGCTGCTGCTGCTGCTGCTGCTGACAGCTTGAAGGCCCATACGCGACGGCCTGAGATGACGGTGAGGAGGACAGCAGGGGGAGACAACAACCGCCATGGCGGCCCTCCCGCGGCGCGGCCCCGGGTTCAAATCCTGGCTGACAGCTTCTTCGAGGCCCACATGCGGCCTGAAACGACGGTGAGAACTGCGGCGACTGCGAGGGGAGACAACAACCACCATGGCGGCCCTCCCGTGGCCAGGCCCCGGGTTCAAATCCTGGCTGGCACACAAGGTTGTGCCGCCTCGCCCCCACCTTTCGTGGCGGCTCAGGTGAAGGCAGCGCCACGCCTTATCTCAAGAGCAGAAGCAGCAGCAGAAGCAGCAGCAGCGGCGGCGGCAGGATTAAAAGGAGGATCAGCAAGAGCAGCAGCGGCAGCAAAAGGATCTCTGGTAGGCACAGCCTACACAGGAAGAGGCCCATCGACAAGCCTAGCGCGAGAGGCACAGCAGCGTCACTACCACGATGAGCAGCATGATAAGCAGCGCGGGCAGCACCATCATCATCGCTTGCACGTCTTGCCGTCCAACGCCAGCAGACGCCCCATCCCTCCTCACTCCTCCTCCCACCCGCCGCTTGTCTCTCGCAGTGTCCCTCGCAGCACTTCCCTTCCTCTCTGGAAGCTAGCTCTGCGCTCGGACCAAGAGCGCCCCGAATCGCATCACTCCTTCACTCCCTCTGCTCGATCCATTCTTTTCACCCCCTCGCTTCACTTCTCTCCTGTCTCTGCTGCCGCTTCTGCATCATTGTCTCCCTCTTCTGTCACTGCTTCTTCAAACGAATCTTCTTCCTCCTCCAACCAGATTCACTGTCGCACCTGTGGATTCTCTTCCTCCCACTCTTTCGATTCGACATCCAGCATTCTCAAGTTATCACTATGGTTCCGAGGCCTGGGATCGTTCGTACATACTCCGCACCTGCCCTCCACCCGAACCTGTCCAATAGACCTGGCACAAGCCCCGTCAGGAGCCCTAAAACCAACCCTGGAGGCATCTTCGACTCCAAGCCAGCTGAGGCATTTCGAATCAGAAGGTCAGGTTTGGCGGAGCCCGAGTGTGAAATACTCATGCCTTTGCCCGAAACTAGCACGGGAGAGACCGCAATACGTTGCAAGCCAAAAGCTTGTCCGGCGGGTGTCATTTAACAGCATTGTGCAGGTGAGGCGGGTGATTGACCTGCAAACTGATGCTGACAAATACTGCAGTGACACTGATGGGAGGTACCCGAATGCTATCTGTTGTGGCGAAAGGTGCGGCTATGCTACTCCCTGCAGCAAGAGGGAGCAGCACCAGCAGCAGCAGCAGCACCAGCACCAGCAACTGCAGGAGCAGCAAGTCACAACCCATGGCTCCTACTCCAGCCGATCTTCTTCTTTCAAGATCCACGCCGCAGCCTCCATACATCCCCCTCCTACTTTGCAACTGCCCTCTTCCTCCTCTTCCTCATCCTCCTCGCTCTTCCCATCACCCTCCACTGATTCGTCCTTCTCCCCATCCTCTTCGCAATCCTCCTCCTGCTCCCCATCAGCCTCCATTATATCGTCTCCCTGTCTGAAGCCTCACCCTCCTCCACCTCGCAGCTTGTCTGACTCCTCCCTCACCTCCTCGTCCCCACCCTCACCTTCCTCCTCTTCCACATCCCACCCACATGCCTGCACTGGCAAGCTCCCCTCCCCAGCCGCTAGAAGGCTGATCGCACGGCTTCGTGCAGCAGCAGCAGCAGCAGCAGCAGCAGCAGCAGCAGCAGCAGCCGCAGCAGCAACAGCACCAGCAGCAAGGCAGGGCAGCGAGCAAGTTGTGGCTCGTGCATGAGTGCCATGATCATTGAGTTGAGACCCGCATCTGCCCCGACTTGAGTCATGACTCATGATCAATGCAATCCATTGATAACTCTGCATATCCCTTCGCATACCAATGTGTTGAGTCACACTAAGGTAATGTAACGCTAAACCAGAGTCCTCCGGATATACGGTAAGATAAAACCCCTAAAATGACCAGGGTGTGTATCATGGCGGCACTAATTTATATAAGACTTGGGACTTTACGCTTAAAACATCTCAGAAAGAGTTCCCTGAGTTTTTCCTTGTTCTTATTTTATTCCCACCTTGCTGCATATTCATCCAACAGATGTTTTTTTAGTCCAATGAAATTCAAGAGCGATAACACACAGCATAATTCAACAGAAGTTGTAATCGTATGTTCTCCAACATTATTTGACATCTTGCGCGTGTGAAGCACTGGAATATCAACAGAAGCTGGGTACACAGTAGGACCACAAAAGCTGTTTCCACACACTGCTGCTGTTTCTCACTTGCACTTTGACGCCTTACTTGGGCTGGGCCTTGGGCCTTTGATGCCTGTTTCTTCACATCATAGTGTGCATGCTTCATATCATATGCTACATACAGTACATCTACCCGTTCCACAGGCTCAGCTGCATCACATTCACATCAGAAACTTGTACTGGCCTGCCTTCTGTGTCGACTGGTAATCGGCTCAGCTGCATGGTACACGGCATGTGTCTGAGCGAGCAATCAGATGTCTTTGGGTTCACGTCCTCCTGCAATGCAGTCTGTGAGTGCATGACTTGGCAGTTCATACAGCTGCTGATCTCTGTCCACCTGTGTACATACGACCACACACATCCCTCACACACAAACATGCACATTGCACAGACAGACACAGACACACACACACACACACACACACACACACACACACACACACACACACACACACACACACACACACACACACGTGAATGGCAGAACAGGGGGGTATGGAAGGCGAAACTGGAACTGCAGGAGATAAATCTGGAGCGGTGGGTGATAAGTTGAAGGCATTGATTGAAGGTATTGATTGAAGGCATTGATTGACGGCATTGATTGAAGGCATTGATTGACACTTGCGCCTGGCTTGAGGTGCAAGGGCGGCTCACCAGCTGCATCTGTTTTCTGAGATTTGAGAATTCTCAAAAAACAAGGCCGGCTCACCAGCTGCAGCAGTCGAAGGAAGTGTGCTGAGCCTCGTCGAAGAGTGGAGCTACAACCGATGATTAGTAGCTTTGCCTGAGGGCACGGGGACGGGCGTGAGGTGATTGAAATGGGGTGATGGGAGTGGGGTGATGGGAATGGGGTGATGGGCATGGGGTGATGGGCATGGGGTAATGGGAATGGGGTGATGGGAATGGGGTGATGGGCACAGCAGCAGAACTAACGGGATGGAGGGATCAGCATGCAGGTAGTGTTGGAGGCTTGAAGAGTGATGGGATATAAGCAAACCCCGCAGTGAAAACCCCGCAGTGCAAACCCCGGAGTGCAAACCCCGCAGTGCAAACCCCGCAGTGCAAACCAAGGAGCGCAAACCCGCAGCGCAAACCCCGCAGTGCAAACCCCGCAGTGCAGATTGACTTCCACACCAAACACCCCATACTCGCACGGCTCGCTCACCTTGGCTCATGTGATGGCACCGTTGCAGCGGCTTGCACCCGCCAGCACAGGCTCCAAATGGCCCTCTCTAAGGCACAGAAAACAAGTTTCGTGCCCTCTCAAAAGTGTTTTGAGACGTCTCAAAACACTTCTTCATATACGCAGGCTCCAGATGGCCCACTCCAAGGCACAGAAAACAAGTCTCGTGCCCTCTGAAAACAAGTATCTTGTCCCCTGAGAAATCTCCTCACCTTAGCTCGTGTGATGGCGACGTTGCAGCGGCTTGCATCTCCCAGTACAGGCCCCAGCTGCCCGCGCCGGTTGCACCGCACCGTGCTGAACACCACACACGCCTTGTCCCGCCCTTGAAACCGATCCACTGTATCCACCTCCACTTCCCCACCCACTTGCCCACAAACGCCACCCTCCCTTCCCGCTGCCACACCCCCCTTTGCGTCCACTTTCCCACCCCCTCCGTTAACCCACGCCCCCTTGACGCCCTCTTCCCCCACACCCACACCGCCGCTCCCTCCTCCCCCTCCCCCTTGCCCCAGGACCCTTGCCAGAGCAGCTCTCTGTGCCTTGACTTGCGCGTTGTACACCGTGGCCACGCCAATGTCACGCGCAGGCAGCCCTGCTGCTATTAGGGAGGCCACTATCCGCGCTACGATCGCTGCCTCGCCCTCGTTGCACGTTGACTCCTTCTCCCGGGTTTCTTGGATTCCTTCCACCTCAGCTGGTGAGGGGAAGAGGGGGAACAAGAAAAGCCGGAAGGTAGGAAAGTGGGAAGTGAGAAAGAGAGCGAGAGATAGAGGGCTGTTGGCGAGAGAAGTGAGGGTAAGAGCAGCTCTCTGTGCCTTGACTTGTGCCTTGTACACCGTGGCCGCGCCAATGTCACACGCAGGCAGCCCTGCCGGTACCAGGGAGGCCACTATCCGCGCCACTATCGCTGCCTCGCCCTCGTTGCATGTCGACTCCTTCTCCCGTGTTTCCTGCGTGCCCTCCACCTTGGCTGGGGAGCGAACAACAGGAAAGCGGGAAGGGGGGGAAGAGGGGAAAAGAGGGAAGAGGGGAAAAGATGGGGAGAGAGGGGGAGAGATAGAGGACTGTAGGTGGACTTCCTAAAGCTGCTCACAGAAACGGCTGCAAGGCAGTTTTACAACGCCGAGCCAACCTCCTATCAAGCTGCCAAACTCTTACACCAATACCGGCAGCGATGGTCGGTGGCTCTTCAAAGGGGGCAGTCGATTGGCTATCTAGAAAAGTGCAGCATAGCGGCTTCAGTAGAAAACCCGCTGCTAGGAACAGTGGGTGAGGCCCCGTCCCTAGGGGACTGCCTCTCGGTCCTTGATCCCGCACTGGACCTTGCTTAGGGGGGGAGGGGTACAGCCGAAGGGTGAGTAAGTAAGAGGAATATCCAGTATACCCACGTGCGTAATGCACTCACCTTGAATGGCTGTATGCTTTGTGACAATCAATGAAAGGGCCATTAGAGAAAGAGGGGGGGAAGGGGAAAGAGGGAGAGGGAGGGAAGAAAGCGAGAACAAGAGAGGGAGGACCACAGGAGAGATGGATTGAAAATAATCGATGGGGAGATACATTCATGGCTAATCGTGAGTGTGAGTATGCGTAAACTGTAACCATCCTGTGAGTGCACCTATGCAGCACCTCAGAGTCTGCCGCTGCTTACCTGTGTCAAGGAAGAGCAGCCGTTTCTCCGGATCAATCACCTGCCACAGGCAGAAATAAGTCACCGGAGATGCAGAGAGCTCATGAGACAGCGTTATATACAGGAAGGACTTTTGAGGCGCCGCAAGGGAGATAATGACCCATAGCACATAGGAAGGAACAAGGCAGTGTGATCGCTCCACATTATCAGTCAGCAGCCACTGGGTGTGGGAGAGGGACATCCGACCCGCCCACCCTCTCTCACCCTCCACCCTCAAACCCAATTTCCCTTTCCCCTCTCTCTCATGCCTCCTACCGCAAACACAGTGGTACAGTGGCCTCAAGCTCGTCTCACCTGCTGCAGCCACAGCGGCAGACCCCCCTTCCCCATGCCCAGGAGCGAGTCCAGCTTCGGCAGGACCAGCCGGGCGTTGCTGACAGCCTCGGACCCGCACTGCAGGCGCCCCTCATACACGAGCGCGTTAGCGAGGGCCATGACGGGGCGGCACATGCGGTACTGCGTGCTCAGATGCGCCACTGCCTCTGGATGCGCCTCCGCCAGCCTCTGCAGCAGACTCACACCCAGCCCCTGCTGCCGTGCCCTGGGGTCCTGTTGAGGGGAGGAGGGGGAAGAGGGGAGAGAGGGAGGCGGGAAGGAGGGAGGGAGGGGAGGAGGAGGAAAGGAGCAAGAGAGGGAGCTTGTCACACCAGAATTGCCAAGAAATGCACTTCTCTCGCCCTTCCAGTAGGCCGGTGCGTTCGCGAGGGCGGTGACGGGGTGGCAGTACTGCGTGCTCAGATGCATACACCTCCGCGAACCTCTGCAGTAGACTCAGATGTTGCACTGCCCAGCTTCTGCTGCTGCGCCCTGGGGTGCTGTTCGGGGGGGAGGGGGGGGTAGGATGGTGGCGGTGAGGGGAAAGACAGGGGGAGAGAAAACAGGGGGGAAAGAGGGAGAGAAGACAGGGAGAGAGGGAAGAGTGGGGACGGAAGAAGAGGAGGGAGGGCCGAGACGGTGTGCTTGTTTTGTTTGTCTTCCTCCAAAATGCACTTTACTCGCATCCCACCACATTTCGTCGCATCACACCGAATTACAATTGAGCGGGCGGGCGAGTGCGTGAGTGAGGGTTGAGGGTGGGAGGTGCAAGGGTGTGTGTGTGTGCGTGTACCCGAACAAGCGGAGGCAGCTGGTGCAGATTTCCCAGCAGCACAAAGGTCAACTTTTGGGGCGCCTCAAAAGCCGTACATATAATTTAGTGTGCAAGTGGGTGAGTGAGGATCGAAGTTGAAAGGAGCAAGGGTGTGTGTGTGTGTGTGTGTGTGTGTGTGTGTGTGTGTGTGTGTGTGTGTGTGTACCCGAACAAGAGGAGGCAGCTGGTGCAGATCTCCCAGCAGCACGAAGGTTGACGCCAGGCGTAACGGGCCGAGGGCCTCCTGTGATCACATGCCGTGACACGACATGAGAGATGTTATGAGAAATAGCATGGAAAATCGCGCGACATGACATTGCATGAAATAGCATGAGACGTGGCATGGGAGTGCACAGAAGGAACAAATCACACACTCCCCACACCCTCCCTACCTACCCACTCCCCTGCACACTCCCCAAACTCTTCGCACCCACACCCCACCAGTCCCCTCACGCCTCCCAAGCAGCCGCTCACCGGCAGGGTGGTCTGCCCTGCTTCGTCCAGTATAGCCACGTCGAAGCGCTTGCGGGCAAAGAGCGACTGCCCCACGCCCAGGCACGTGCACCCCGCCACTGATGCGCCCAGGCCTACTGCCTCCATGCCCGCTACACTGCCCACGTCCATGCCCCCCCCTGGGGACGAGTGTAAGAAAGGGGAGAAACGACAAGGGAAGAGGGAAGAGCGATGGGGACGAGGGGAGAGGGAACGAAACAAGGGACGAGGGGAGAGGGAACGAAACAAGGGACGAGGGGAGAGGGAACGAAACAAGGGACGAGGGGAGAGGGAACGAAACAAGGGACGAGGGGAGAGGGAACGAAACAAGGGACGAGGGGAGAGGGAACGAAACAAGGGACGAGGGGAGAGGGAACGAAACAAGGGACGAGGGGAGAGGGAACGAAACAAGGGACGAGGGGAGAGGGAACGAAACAAGGGACGAGGGGAGAGGGAACGAAACAAGGGACGAGGGGAGAGGGAACGAAACAAGGGACGAGGGGAGAGGGAACGAAACAAGGGACGAGGGGCCAGTAGTGTATGGCAGGAGCAGGTACGGGTACACTACGAATTCTCATATGTGACTCCATGATAACACACATACAGATCCCTCAGGTTTTGAGAATTCTCAAAAGGCCCTCTTCTTGCGCACCTCTGCCGTTGAGAGTGTAAGGCACCTCTGCCATTAAGGCAGCAGGTCCGGAGGATGCACAGCTGCCTGCCTCCCCACTCCAAGTGATGTTTTAGTCGATTCAAAAATCATATACAAATCCCTCTTCTTCTGAGAATTCTCAATGCGCCCTCCCTCTCACCTTTATCATTGAGAGTGTAGAGCAGCAGGTCCGGGTGCACAGCTGCAGGCCTTTGAGGCGTCCTAAAACTCGAATTCCGTCATGTGCACATTGCCCTCCCTCCCTCTCACCTCTATCATTGAGAGTGTATGGCAGAAGGTCCGGGTGCACAGCTGCAGGCCTCCCCACTCGCAGCACCGACACTCCCTGCAATAAGATGAATCACAGGGGTTCAGGAGGGAGAGTATGATAACGGGTTTACAGGGGTTCAGGAGGGAGAGTATGACAACGAATTTACAGTCATTCTTGTTCGGCAGAATGTGGTGAATAGTCTGAGTGTTGGTGTGAGCTGATCTTCACTTTCCCGACTCTTCTTCAGGCACCTCTTAATCAAATCACCCCGCCTTTTTCATTAGCTTCACTTTGAGCAGAATGTGGTCGACAGCCGTGTTGGTGTGAGCAGCTCTTTCATTGCTTCCTTTTCAGGCGCCTCAGTAGTCTCTCCATCCATCCCATCCATCCACGCACCCACCTTTTTCATGAGCTTCAGCAGGATGTGGTCTACAGCCGTGTTGGTGTGAGCAGCCACCAGCACCGACCGCCCTCCCGCAGCTAACGCCTTCACCAGATGCACCACCGCCGTGCTCTTGCCCGCACCAGGTCCGCCTTGCACCACCAAATAGTCTTGTGCTGACATGGCCTGGGTAAGGATAGAAGTAAGGAGTGGAGAAGGAGAGGGCACAGGGGAGAACACGAAAGGGGTTTGTTTTCAACATCCTCAGGGCCGCCCTGCATCACCAGCTGATCTCATGCTGACTAAGCTTGGGCAGAGATACACGAGGAGAGGAAGAATTGAACTATACACATGGGAAAAGAGAGATACACGAGGTGCTCTAAGGGCCTGAAAGGGACTATGGTGTGCCAACATATAGCCCGAAGCCCACATGGCCTGGTAGGGAGATATACAAGTCGGGATAAAAGTAATGAGGGAACTGGGTGGGGCGGAGTTTGTTGGGGGCACGAGACAAAAGCAAGGAATGAATTGGGGTACGGTGTGGTGCAAACAAACCTGTTTGCAGTGCAGTACAGTGCAGTACGGTGCACTGAATTTACCTTGATGACTGCCTGCTTCTGATCGTCGTTGATCTCTCGGGGCGATAGGGAGGAGAGATACGCCATGCTGTCCGGATGGATGTCTTCAGGAGGGGAGAACTGCGGGGGCTGCAGGCGGGTGGAGGGGTGGGGGGATGGAGGGATGGGGTAATGGGTGATAGGGAGGAGAGATACGCCACGCTGTCAGGATGTATGTCTTCAGGAGGGGAGAACTGCGGGGGCTGCAGGCGGATGGATGGGGGGGATGCGGGAATTGGGGATAGGGGAGATGGGTGTTTGGAGGATGGGAGGATCGAGGGGAGAGAGGGGCATGGAGGGGGAGGGCCCTCCCCCCTCTCTCCCCCCCCCACACACACTCACACACTACACATTCACACACGCACACTCGTACCCGCGCGACAAATCAGCACCCTTTTTCTCCCTTCTCCCACCTCCAGATGCACCACCAGGCATTCTCAAGCGAGGGGAGGAACAGCCCAACAAGGTTGAACCTCAGCTGCCCGCCTCCCCCTCCCGCCATCTCAACCATGTCCACGCGCCACCTCTCATGGCGGCATGCATGAGCATGCACGCACGCACACACCCACACCTATACACACATGCACATGTGCACAAATGTGAACACGCGACAAACCAGCCTCTCCTCCCTTTTTCCCACCCGCCTCCCCTCCTGCCCACCTCCAGATGCACCACCAGCCGTCTCCGGCGGTCATTCTCAAGCGAGGGGAGGAAGAGCCCGACGAGGTTGAACCTCAGCTGCCCGCCTCCCGCTCCCGCCATCTCATCCTTGTCCACGCGCCACCTCTCACTCCACACCCGCCTCTCCTCTCCCTCGGCCCCTGCTGCTCCGCTTCGACTGGGCAGCCGTAACTGGCGGTGAGCTCTCATCTGGATAGGATGGACGCGCACGGATGAGGGAGTGAAGAATAAGGGGGTCAGGGGCTTGGATGGAATAAGGAAGTTTTTGTGTACGACCCTTCCACCTCTCACTCACCAATCTTCCACAGACAAGCAACAAGCAACGAGCAAGCAGGCAGGCAGGCAAGGACTCACGGTGATGTTATGGGGTGTGACAGCAGTGATGGTGGCCGTGGCCACTCCAGCCTGCCCTGATACGGTGCTCAAGATCTGAAAGGACACAAGGAAAGAAGGGCGTGCAAGGGTGTGCAAGGGTAAGGCAGAAATGAACAGGCACGCACACACAAGAGCAGTCATGCGTTCTTGTCTTACGTTCTTGTCTTTAGAACTCGCCAACGAGGAATAAAAGGTGGCAATATTCAGATGTCAGAATGAGATCGTAGGGATGTCAAGCAAGAAACAGCAGCTTGCTCTCTCACCACATAGTCTCCAGCAGCAAAGCCTGTCTGGTCCAACCTTCCACTCCCACTCTGACTCCCCCCACCACCACCACCAGCAGCACCACCACCACCACCACTGCTGCTGCTGCTGCTGCAGTTCTGTATGCTCCAGGCTCGCTTGAACGTATACTCCCACTGGTCCCTCGACTGCCCTATCCGCCCATCCGCCAACACAGCAGCTGCCGCAGTGCCCACTATTTGAGTACACCCACCCCCTCCTGCCGTCCCCACCCCTGCTCCCGCTCCTCCTGCTCCTGCTCCTGCTCCACCTTCTCTTGCATCTGCTGCTGCTTCTAGCACTCCTTCAGGTGGTTTGATTGAGGCGAGCTGCAGGGGACCAATGCAGCGCCCGGTGGCCTCTCGCTCCTCTGTGGGCATGGCCCAGATGTCAGCATGAGAGGCCTGCGGCAGGGAGGGACGAGGGATGAGAATGGAGCAGGCATGCACAAGAGGAAGCAGGGGAAAGGACGGTTGTTGAGGTTGGGGCGACTCAAGAACAGGCTGATGCAGCGTCCGGTGGCCTCTCTCTCCTCTGTGGGCATGGCCCAGATGTCAGCATGAGAGGCCTGCAAGCAGTGACGAGAATGGATAAGGCATGGACGGGAGGGAGGCGGGGCGGAGGCGACTCAAGAACAGGCTGATGCAGCAATCAGTGGCCTCTCTCTCCTCTGTGGGCATGGCCCAGATGTCAGCATGCGAGGCCTGCAAGTAGTGACGAGAATGGAGAAGGCCTGGACGGGAGGGAGGTGGGGCGGAGGCGACTCAAGAACAGGCTGATGCAGCAATCAGTGGCCTCTCTCTCCTCTGTGGGCATGGCCCAGATGTCAGCATGAGAGGCCTGCAAGCAGTGACGAGAATGGATAAGGCATGGACGGGAGGGAGGCGGGGCGGAGGCGACTCAAGAACAGGCTGATGCAGCAATCAGTGGCCTCTCTCTCCTCTGTGGGCATGGCCCAGATGTCAGCATGAGAGGCCTGCAAGCAGTGACGAGAATGGATAAGGCCTGGACGGGAGGGAGGCGGGGCGGAGGCGACTCAAGAACAGGCTGATGCAGCAATCAGTGGCCTCTCTCTCCTCTGTGGGCATGGCCCAGATGTCAGCATGCGAGGCCTGCAAGTAGTGACGAGAATGGAGAAGGCCTGGACGGGAGGGAGGCGGGGCGGAGGCGACTCAAGAACAGGCTGATGCAGCAATCAGTGGCCTCTCTCTCCTCTGTGGGCATGGTCCAGATGTCAGCATGCGAGGCCTGCAAGTAGTGACGAGAATGGAGAAGGCCTGGACGGGAGGGAGGTGGGGCGGAGGCGACTCAAGAACAGGCTGATGCAGCAATCAGTGGCCTCTCTCTCCTCTGTGGGCATGGCCCAGATGTCAGCATGAGAGGCCTGCAAGCAGTGACGAGAATGGATAAGGCCTGGACGGGAGGGAGGCGGGGCGGAGGCGACTCAAGAACAGGCTGATGCAGCAATCAGTGGCCTCTCTCTCCTCTGTGGGCATGGCCCAGATGTCAGCATGAGAGGCCTGCAAGCAGTGACGAGAATGGATAAGGCCTGGACGGGAGGGAGGTGGGGCGGAGGCGACTCAAGAACAGGCTGATGCAGCAATCAGTGGCCTCTCTCTCCTCTGTGGGCATGGCCCAGATGTCAGCATGCGAGGCCTGCAGGTAGGGGCGAGAATGGAGGGAGCATGACGGGTGGGAGGCAGGGAGTGAAGAGCAAAAGGGAGAGAGAAGAGTTCAACCTCTGCCCCACTCGGTGCCACAGCTGTCCTATCGCTCCCAGTGGGTCAGAAGCAGCGGTCCTGCCTTTGAAGCAGATCTAAACCCAAAACTCAAACCTTAAACCCTAGTTCCCACACACTATACTCTACACCCTGATCTTTAAATTCTTTAGTGTAAACCTTAGGCAGGTCAGGATGCCCTCCACTGCTCGTCCCGCCTCTTTTGAGACATCACGGAACGGAATTCGTTTTCCTACTCACAACTGCACTGTTTGTCTCCATATCCACCAGTCGCTCCCAGTGACTCAAGTCTCTTTTGCACAGTGCATGAGGCTCCACTGCTACCTCTGCCTCTTTTGAGACGTCCCAGAAACAGTTCCCTACTTACAACTGCACTGTTCGTCTCCATATCCACCAGGCGCTCCCAGCGACTCAAAAACTGCGCATCCTTCTCGCCCCACTCCTCGCCCCGCTCCTCGCCCCACCCTTCGACCCACTCCTCGCCCCACTCCTTGCACTGCCCGTTTTCCTACTTACAACTGCACTGTTCGTCTCCATATCCACCAGTCGCTCCCAGTGACTCAAAAACTGCGCATCCTTCTCGCCCCACTCCTCGCCCCGCTCCTCGCCCCACCCTTCGACCCACTCCTCGCCCCACTCCTTGCACTGCCCGTTTTCCTACTTACAACTGCACTGTTCGTCTCCATATCCACCAGTCGCTCCCAGTGACTCAAGAACTGCGCATCCTTCACGTCCCACTCCTCGCCCCGCCTCTTTGCCACCTCCTCTGCAAACGCTGAAGGGTCAGAGGCAGGGTGTGTGTGGTCCTGAAGCTGTTGTGGGGGCAAGGGGAGGGGGGAGAAGAGGAGGTATGGGAGGGGGAAGAAGAGGAGGAAAGGGGACGTGCCGAGGGTAGGACAAAAAGTAAGAGCCTTTTGGAGACATGCATGCATTCGAAGGGGCATATTGCAACAGTTATTGAGTAGTAAGTGCAGTAAGCCACAGCAGGTGCAGCCGTTACCTTGAAGTATGACGAGCACACGTCGAATTGGCTGCAGTTGTTGCACTGGTTCACACTCTGCCATGTTCACAGTGAAGAAAAACACGGTTTCCAAAGACAGAGGAGAAGACACAAAGAAAACACAAGGGACGGGGGGAAAGGGGGGTGTGTGGGGCGGGGGGAGAAACGCAAACAAACAGCATGAGAAGGAATAAAAGTACACATGATTTGAGTACTACATGGATCAGCGTGAACGGTACACCAGCCATGACCCTAACCCAATCATACATGACCTCTTCCCCAGTGCCTACCTCGAGGACAGGTGGCAGCTCCTGATAGGCCGAAACTCTTTTCAAGTCGTTGGCCAGGATGTTCCGCCGGATGATCAAGCCCACCAGCTCCCTGCGACTCACTTGAATGCCCTGTGGGGCATTAAGGGAAAAGAGGTATGGGGGAAGAGGTAAGGGCCACGGTGCATGCAGCTTGGGGTATGAGGTATGGATTAAGGGTCATGAGGTTTGGTGCATAGAATATGGTGCATGCATGGGGCATGGGGCGTTTGGGATGCGGTACGTAGCATGGGGAGTGGTGTATGAGAATGGGACATGGGCACGGGGCATGGGCAGGGGGTATGGGCACGGGGCATGGGCAGGGGGTATGGGCATGGGGCATGAGCATGGGGCATGCGCATGGGGCATGGGCATGGGTCATGCGCATGGCATGGGGTATGGGGCATGTTGTGCTGAGATGTACCACATGCTCCATGGTGCTGAGTTCTTCAGGCTGAGCAGCACCAGCCCTGGAATCACCCCTGCTGGCATGCTCTCGATGCCTCTCACATTCACCTACTTACCCTACCCCACCACACCACATCACACCACGCCACATTCCACCACATTCCACCACATTCCACCCCAACGCACCGCGCCACACCCCTGCCACTCACGGTGGTGGCGCTGTTGTGCAGGTTGAGCAGCAGCCCTGTACTCACGCCCTGCTGGTACCGCTCTGCCATGAGCAGGCAGTAAAGCATCACCTGCGCCCTGTGCTCTATGGCCGCCTGGGAGGGAGCGGGAGGAGGGTGTATTTGTGTGGCAACAGTAAGGACAAGGGCAAGGGCAAGGGATGCGCCCAGGTTGGCTGGTAGCGCTCGCTCTGCCATGAGCAGGCAGTACAGCATCACCTGCGCCCTTTGCTCCATGGCTGCCTGGAGGGAGAGAGGGAGGCAAAGGGTAGAGAGCGGGAAGGGAGGCTTTTGTGGGGTGAAAGCAAGGACAAGGGCAAGGGGATGGCTGGTACCGCTCTGCCATGAGCAGGCAGTACAGCAGCACCTGCGCCCTGTGCTCTATGGCCGCCTGGAGGGGGCAGTTTAAGAGAGGCAGGCGGGGGTGAAGAGGGGGGGGAGGCGTTTACGTGGTAACAGTAAGGGCAAGGGCAAGGGATGCGCCAAGGTTGGCTGGTAGCGCTCGCTCTGCCATGAGCAGGCAGTACAGCATCACCTGCGCCCTTTGCTCCATGGCTGCCAAACGAAGAAGAAGAAGAAGAAAAAAAAGCCCCCCACCATGTCCATAAGAAAGCATACCTGGTTGGTTTTTGAGTCGACTCAAAAACAAGCCCCCCACTATGTCCATAAGAAAGCATACCTGGTTGGAGCTACTCCTCCCAGTCTTCACCTCCAGAGGCATCATCACCATCTCCTCCTCCTCCGCATCCCCTCCCTTCCCACTCCCGCCACTCGCTTTCCCCTTCCACCTCCCCGCTCCTGCCTGCGCTCCCTGCTGGCCCCCCATCCTTCCCCCCACACCCGCCACTTCCTTTCCCTTGTTGCGCACTGCCACACGCACTGACACGTCCAGACGCCCTTTGAGGCCCAGCCTCGGGCTCCACACGGTCTCCTCTATGTCCACCACCTGGACAGATGCAAATGCGAGAGAGGAGCAGACACGGACGGGGGAGTGCTTGAGTAAGCCACGCTTGTGCGCACAAAGAGACACGTCCAGCCGCCCTTTGAGGCCCAGTCTAGGGCTCACAGTCTCCTCTATGTCCTAGAGGAGACTGTGTGCTGCTGCGTGTCTTACCACACCCCCCACGCTGTGTCCACCTCCTGGGAACACACATGCCGTGGATAGCACACAGCGTGTGGGGGTGTCTTGGTAAGACACGCAGCAGCAGCAGCGCCAGCAGCGGCGGCAGTGGCGGCGGCAGCGGCAGCAGCAACACCGATACTGAAGCATCCAATAGCAGCAAAGGCACATCCAGCCCTTCATCTGCTTTCCAACATCCCGCACTAGCGCCTTCCTCTCTCACTCACATGCACCGTACCGTACCGCTCTCGACATTCAACACTCAACACTCAGCAGCACAAGCAGTGGTACCTTGGCCAGTCGCATGTGCCGCTGCTCGCCTCTATTGCCAAATGGTACAGCCGCCAGGGCGCTAGACTGACATCGGAGGGCGGGGTGGGGTTGTGGGAGTTGGGGAAGGGTGGAGTGGGAGGGGGTTGAGCTTCGTGGGGGGGAGGAGGTGTAGGGGTTGAAGGGGGGAGGAAGAGCAGAAGAGAAGGGGATGGGTTAACTAAACAGTGACTCACAATGAGAACGAGAATGCTGAAAGGACAACGAGATAGAAGAAAGCGTGAAAGAGTGAGTGCACAAGTGAGTGAGGGAATGAGTGAGTGAGTGAGGAGGAGAGTGTGTGGTGGTACCTTGGGGTAGAGGAACTGGTGCACCCAGGAGAGCACAGTGGGAACCGCCTCCTGCAGCTGCTGCAATGCCCACGCTTCGTCCTCTGCTCGCGCATACAATGGGACATGAAGTGAAAGACAAGGAAACAAGACAGCATGATCTGATCTGAAAGGGCGCCTCATCATCAGACGCCAGAGTTTCGTGTTGGGACAACCAGTGACATAAAGAGACATAGAGAGTCAAAAACATTGGCGCCAATTCAAGCTATTTAGCAACCTCCGAGTCCCCAGCCCATTACCTCACTCAACAAACATTCACGCCTACACATGCACGTGTCACGTCATAACTTCACACACACCTGACCTGCCCGACCTACCTGCTCCATCCCAACTCACTCGCAAGTGCAAAAAGCGTGTCTGTGTGCGACTGGCTGATGGCTACTGCTGCCTCCTCCAGGTGCTGTGCTGCTAGTGATGCTCCTGCCTCGTGCTGCAGTGCCACCTGGTGGGGGTCAAGGTGAGGTGAGAGGAGTGAGGGTTTGAGTTATTGTGAATCGACCCGACACACGATACAAGATGCACGAATGGCTGCTGCTGATGGCTATTGCTGCCTCCTCCAGGTGCTGTGCTGATAATGACGCACCTGCCTTGTGCTGCAGTGCCACCTGGTGGGGGTCAAGGTGGACGTGAGGCGAATGTCGGCACGAGAGTAAGAGTAGGTTTGAGTTGATATATTGTGAATAGACATGAGACGGCACGAGAGTAAGAGTTGGTTCGAGTTGAGATATTGTGAATAGACATGAGACATGGGATAGATGCGTTCCTGCAGCTGCTCCTGCTCATCAGTATCCTGCAATGGATTCCGTGGGATGACATCGTGCCTCCACCAGCTGAGGCAGCATTGTGCCTCGCAGGGCCAGCGCAGTGACGTCTTTTGAGACGTCTCAACAGGCATTCCCTGCTGCTGCTGCTGTTCCTGCTCAGTAGTACCCTACCCTGTTCATCAATTCCCTGCCACCGCCTTGCTCTTACCTGCACCAGCTGATGCAGCATTGTCCCTCGCAGGGCTGGCGCAGTGACGTCCCTCTGCCGCACTCTCTCCTCCAGCACCGCCCTCCGCCCACACGCAAAGCTGCCCCCCACCTGAGATGGGGTTGGTTGGGAGTATGGGGAAAGTGGGTGGAATGAGGTTAGTCTAGAGCATGGGGACAAACGGAGTGTGAGGGCTTTTGAGGCACCTCAAAGGTCGGGCTAACGCAGTGACGTCCCTCTGCCTGGCTCTCTCCTCCAGCACCGCCCTTCGGCCACACGCAAAGCTGCCCCCCCACCTGACAGGCATGGTTTGGGTTGAGGTTGGTTGAGAGCGTGGGGAAAGATGGAGTGGGGGGGATGGCTGTGAACAGCCGAGGGGTGCAACACAAGAAGAAAGAGAGGGGGGTGGGGGGGAAAGGGGGGGGGCGGAGGAGAGAGATAGTACGGAGCCTGCACGCACACGCACGCACGCGCGCGCGCGCGCGCACACACACACACACGCACACACACACATGCACCCACGGTGACTGTAAGGGATGCTTCTTACCCGAGAGCCAGAGATAAGGACATCTGGATGCAGGATGAGCATGCCGTTGTTAACGTCCACAATCACCACCCTCTCCTCTTCCCCTTCCTCTGCTGCTGCCCCTGCTCCTCCTGCCCCTGCTCCTCCTGCCCCTGCTCCTGCTGCCTGCTCTTTAGTCTGGGGTTGCCCGCCGATGAGCGCCACAGTGTCACCGGCTGACACAGGCACGTCCAGCCTGCAGGCAGGGGAAAATGGTAAGGTAATCTCAGTGCAAAAAAAAGCGATACTGCTTGTGCTGATGATTTTTTTAGCAAGGCGGGCGTGAACTAGAGGAGGGAGGGAAGAGAGAGGAAAGGAAAGAGAGGAAAGCGGAGAGAGGGTGGAGAAGAGCTGTGAGAGAGGACAGAGGGTAGAACGAGGGCATACCAGTCGTCACGGAGAAGCACTTGCACAGGGCGGTGGGGTTGGGCGCGCATGCGAACACGCAGCACCTGAGACGGATGGAGAGAAGAGGGCGTTGGACGTGGCAAGAACATGGCATTGAGGTTGGAAGGTCGGTGCAAGGCGTGGAGTGAGGCGGGTGTGGAGGAATGGAGGAAAATACTTCGGAGTCGACGCAAGAAAGCATAAGGGACAGCGACGACATGGCAGTGAGAGAGTGGTGCAAGGCGTGGAATGGGGTGGGGGTGGAGGAATGGAAGAGAAGACATTGCCTAATCCCTCATCACTCTCCTTGGCTCCAATAGTTTGCACACAAGAAGGCGCACATTACAAAATCTCACGATCAGCTTCACTGCTGTTGTAGCTTCTGAGGATTCTCATAAGCGCTTCCAATGCTGCTGTACCTTTTGATGCTGCACTGTCGCGATGCCACGCGCGTTGACAGCACTGAACGTCGCCTCCCATGCCTGGAATGCGGATGCATGGTGGGGTGGATGGGGGGTAGACATGGAGGGGGGAACGTAAATGAATGGAGAGTGCGCGCTGTAAAGCAAAGAGCATGTCCATTCATGGCTGCTGCCCTTTTCACACCCCGTTCCTTTTCCCCAAGGCACACCACAACATGCTCATACGGTCATACCTCCAGAACTAGTGCATGCTCCATTGTAGCAGCAGTACACTGAAGCTGCTTCTCCTCCTCCCCTTCCCTCTTCACCTCCCTTCGCTCCCACTCCTCCTCATCAACCCCCAACTCCTCCACCCTCTCCCTCACCCTGTCTCTACAACCACGGCCCTCCTCGTGTGCATCACTACCCTGTGCTTCCTTGCTTGTTCTGCCACCCTGCTGTTGTTGCTCCTCCTCCACCGCCATGGCATTTATTTCAGAAAGGAACTCTTCCATCTCCTGCTGCTGCTGCTGCTGCTGCTGCTGCTGCTGCTGGAGCTGCTGCTGTTGCTGCTGAAGATGCTGCCGCCTCTGCTGCTCCTCGTACTGCTGCTTCTGCTGCTCCTCCTCCTCATGCTGTCTTTGTTGCTGCTGCTCCTCATTCTGCCGCAACTGCTGCTGCTCCATATTTTCCCTCATGCCCTCTCCAGCCATTCCTTCGCCACAACCCCTCACAACGTTAGCACAACAACCCTCCAAACCGGAAACCTCCTCCTTCAACCCCAGCCCATCACCGCCTTTCCCACTCCTCTCCCCACAGTTCCTCTGCGAATCCACTTCTTCCACCCCCTCTACCTCATCTCCTTCCACTTCTTCCCCCAGCAACACTCTTTTCATGCCTCCCTCTCCCATGTCCATCCCATCCATCCCTCCCATCTCTAGCGAATCTTCCTCTTCTTCCACCCCTCCATTCACCATCCCCATCGCCCATGCGCAAGCCTCCGCCTCAGCACCTAGCATGCCAATCCCCTGCTTCTGCTGCTCCTCTTGATCCCTGGAAAGGTCCAGAGAGCTCTGGTGTGGCGGGCAGGCTTTGAATGAATCTAGATCAACAACAGCAGCAGCAGCAGAAGCGCCAGTAGCAGCACCACCAGCTGCAGCAGCAGCATCAGTAGGAGCAGCAGGCAGTGCCACATCGTGGTTGGGTGACAGTACATGAAGAGCCTGTCTTGCATCTACTGCCCCACAATCTTTACCCTTCCCAGTAGCGCATGCCTTGGCAGGGAAAGTCACATCGGTAGCGGTTTTCACTGTGCCTTTGACGATGGTGGCTTCAAGCTCGTCCAGGATCTTCAGCACCCCCTGCAGTGGACAGTACAGCATTATTTGGTGCTCACATACACAGATACATGCACTACCACACACACACACATGAGTACATGCACAACCACAATCTCAGGAGCAAGCACAAGTACATGTCAAGCTGCATTTTTTAGGTTCTGCGGGAACAATAACCGCCGACCACCCACCACTCACAATCTATTCCCTCTCACCTTGTGTCGTTTCGCGCTCATTCTTCGGCTGCGACCCACAAGGGGCTTCTCCATAGCAGAAGCACCAGCAGGAACAGCAGCAGGAGCAGCAGCGATAGTCACGCCAAGCGCAGCAGGTCCCTTGGGCTCGTCGCCGACCACCTTCTCCTTGCCATCATTTGCGTCAGTGAATCTGTGACTGCGTCTGTTGTGATTGTAGCCGTTGTGACTAACGCGAGCACGACCAGAAGCATCCGTTTCAGTGATTTCGCGTGCGCCCTGTTCTTCCTGGCGCTTCTCCTTCCGCTTACTGCCAGTCGAGCTGCAAGCTAGCAGGCTACATAAGGGAAGAGCAGCAGGTGGACTACCGTTCCCCTCATTCCCCTCTATTTTGTCTCGATTTGCCTTTATCTGCTTATCGCTCTCCTTTCTGCTCTCTGCATTCCCCTCCGCCCTCACCACAGGGGCTTCGCAGCTACCGTCTTCGCCAGGCCTTGTCTTTACCTTATCCAGGGCGGCCGCTGACTCAGCATGCAAGCATGCTGACTCAGCCTGCACATCTTCCCCCATCTTGTCCAGTTCACTCGAGCGCCGTCGTTTTTTGGATTGCGTTTCGCTCTTCGGTTTTGGCTCGCCGGGGTTCACACACGAAACATCTCTGCTGGTAACCAGCCGCTTCACACCATCACCAACTTCGTCCTTTTCGCCACAGTCTTTGGCTGTTGTGCGATTGCAAGGAACAGTAGAGGGCTTAGCCGTGTGCCCGCGATTGGCACCAGTAGATGCGACAGATCGACTTGCTGCTACTACACCTGCTCCTGCCAGTGCCCCTGCCGTTGCTCTTGCCGTTGCTCTTGTCGTTGCTCTTGTCGTCGCTCCTACTGCTCCTTCTGCTTCTCTCTCTTCAGGCGCCCTTACAAGCGGCACTTCCTTCCCTGCAGTTTTCTTCCCCGCGGTTTCTTTCCTTGCAACTTCCCTCCCCGACCTTTGCGTCTCCGACGTTGCCTTCCCCGCCGTTTCCTTCCCCGCCGTTAACTTCCCTGCAACTACTGCGCGCGCTGCTCCTACGTCACCTCCGCCAGCTCCATTGCTCCCCGCGCCGGCGGTAGTGGCATCAGCCGCCGTCGCTCCTCGCGCGGAAACCGCACGCGTATTTTGAGTCGACTCAAACCGCACTGCTCCTGCGTCACCTCCGCTAGCGCCATTTCTCCGCGCGCCGTCAGCACTGTCATCAGCCGCCGTCGCTCCACGCGCGGAAATCGCACGGGTGGTGTCAGCGCTGGCGTCATTCGCTTCACGCGCAGCGGCCCACTTACCGAAAAAGTGCTTAATACCGAAGTTCGAGACGGCGGGAGGGGCGCTTCCTTTCTTCGCGGAGGCCTTTTTGGGTCCCTGCGCGATTCAACGGCAGGAATCAAAACGGAATTCGGAGAATGAGAGAATTGGAGAATTGAAGAACCAGAGAATGGTTCAGCAATGCGGAGGCGGAAGGACTTAGAGAGATTCTTTTCTTTGCCATGCCGTAGTTGGGACTTTCAAAACAGCAGCTCCGTCAAACGCTGATGCCGCAACGAGAAACGCGGAAACCTGGTAAGCTGAAAATGGAACTGACGCACGAAGTGCGATCCGATCGGACGAACTAGTAGGGCAAAACCAGATAGGAGGGTTTCTAGCCGAACCAGGAGTTGACTCTGTAGAGTGGCCTCTCACCTTCCCGCGCATTGTCGCTGCGGACTGAGACGGCACCACCATGCTATCGAGTTTCGGGTGTACTGATGCTTGACACAGATCCTTCGCTGAGGCACTTTCTGGGAGAACGGAATCTGAGAATTCTAATGCTGGCGAAAGGAGAATGCTTTTTAAAGCTTACAGTTATAGCCGTGTTCCTACGACCATTTACCGCTTATGCAGCAACAACGAATCGCACAGCGAGTTAGTCTACGCCAGTTAATTCCGCAAGACCGAGCTAGAAAAGCAAAGGTGGATACATGGCGGGCTACGAGGCAGTCGAGGTCGATGTCGCTTTGGCCTAAAACGCCGCCAGAACTTACGAACGCTTTACACCTTCGAGGACTCACAGAAAAACCGAACTCAGGGAACTCCCATAGAACGGAAGTGATGCCATCATGAACCAGGGACCACTTGAGCAGGGAGATCTCGAGGCGCTGATCGTGGCGGAAGCGTCATTGTGGCTCTTCCGCACAAGGCAGGAGCCAGAGGCAGAGGCTGACAGCATCAATATCATACTCGCTCATTACCCTATTCAGAACTTCTTCACCGCTCTTGAAAACGAGAAAACGCATGAAGCCGCAATCGAAAGTGCTTTTGGAGTCTGGCCTTGAGGGTACCCACTGCCCACCCAGGATATTCTTCTGCGCAGGTGCCCCACACTGACTCCCGCCAATTCCCATCTGCCCACACTTGCTGCTCGAAGTTTGAAAAGTTCAAATCTCCAAGTCGCCATTCGCCACTATACGCTTTTCGGGACAAACTCAATAGTGATAGTGTGGCCATTTTCTTACCATAGAATCTTGTATCCTTTACCAGCCTCTACTTGATTTTAGAATCTTTGCAACATCAACAACCTCATGATCCCAGGTTACACTAGGAGAACATCCAGATAAAATTTTAAATTCACAAACCCATGTTTGTTAATTTTCACACTCTAGCTATCAAAACATCTTAAATGTCTAGTATGACGACCTTACTGTTATGTTGCCCACGTAATACGCATTACCGAATGTCATCAATGCACATACAAATGAGGCTTCCCCTATATACATTTTGCAAGCAAACATGTTTGCATTGATGTATGTCATACCAACGTCATACCATTTTGAAAACTACTAACAGTTGTAATGATGTATGGCGTGTCATCTACAGTACTCTCGAAATTTGTAGTTCTTACGTAATTGCATGTTTAGTTAGTTAGTGTAGTATCACCTATCTTGTCTTAGGTGGTCTACCTCCCTTTACCGCCTCCCCAGTTTCCTATAACTTGTACTGCATTCTGTAGTGCAAACCCCCTTCTCATGGCCAACCCTCTCTTCATCAACCTTAGCCTCTGAGCTCATATCTTGACATGGTTTCAGGGCTACTACGGTCTTAGTGTCAAACTTATATGAGCTAGCTTGTGTAGGCTGTAGCGGGTTAGATACTAAGGGGTACACAATTCTAGGGTTTCATATTTGGATCACTTTCATTCCTTGGTCATTCATTCTCGTTCTAAGTTTCTCATGGTATCGAGCAGGTTCCCCAGTGGGAATTCTCCTAGGGCCCACCAAGATCGAGTTTTTTTTTTCCTGCCCGGGGCGCGCGTTGTCCCCTGCCCGAGGCGCGCCTAGTGTTCTGCCCTTAGCGGCCCGTCGCGCCCTCCTTAGCGGCCCCGTCGTGCCCTCCTTAGCGGCCCGTCGCGCCGCCCTTAGCGGCCCCGTCGCCGCCTCTTCCGGCCTCGTTGCCGCCCTAGACGGCCCCGTCGCCGCCCTTTCAGTGGCCCCGCCGCTGCCCTTTCAGCGGCCCCGTCGCCGAACTTTCAGCGGCCCCGTCGCCGCCCTTTCAGCGGCCCCGTCGCCGCCCTTTCAGCGGCCTCGTCGCCGCCCTTTCAGCGGCCCCGTCGCCGCCCTCTCAGCGGCCCCGTCGCCGCCCTTTCAGCGGCCCCGTCGCCGCCTCTTAACGACTTCGTCACCGCCCTTCAGCGGCCCCGTCGCCGCCCTTTCAGCGGCCCCGTCGCCGCCTCTTAACGACTTCGTCACCGCCCTTCAGCGGCCCCGTCGCCGCCCTTTCAGCGGCCCCGTCGCCGCCTCATAGCGGCCTCGTCGCCGCCCTTCAGCGGCCCCGTCGCCACCCTTCAGCGGCCCCGTCGCCGCCCCTTTCCGTGGCCCCGTCGCCACCTCTTTCCGCGGCCGTGTCGCCGCCCCTACTCGGCCTCGTCGCCGCCCCTTTCGGCGGCCTCGTCGCCGCCCTTCAGTGGCCTCGTCGCCGCTCCTTCGCGGCAGCGACGCCGCCCTTCATGGCCCTGCCGAGCCACCTTCGCTGCCGAGCCGCTGAGCCGCCGAGCCGCCTTTGCCGCCGAGCCGCCTTTGCCGCCGAGCCGCACTGCAGCTGAGCCGCCGAGCCGCCGGGCCGCCGCAGCCGAGACGCCGCCGTCTCTGCAGTAGCGGCCCTGTCCCTGCCGGCCTGCCCCAGACCGCCTCACTTGCCTGGTAAGAGCACTGCCTCTGCCACTGCACTGCCCTACCCCACTGTGCTCACTGCCTGTCTACCGCTGTCATGGCCACCCCCAGTGTTCTCACCTTTGACGCAGAGGGTCGGGCTGTTGACTTTGAGGTCTAGGTAGATGATCTACAGCTTTTCCTACAGTGCGATAGGGCAGAAGGTCTCTCCTTGTTTGACCTCACTTCTGGTGCCTCTCCTGCCCCTGCTGCTGATGCTGACGCCACTAATCGCTCACAGTGGGCCAAGCGCGATGCTGCTGCTCGCCTTGCTGTGCGCCGCCACTTATCGATCGCTGAGCGCGCGCATTTTAGTCAGTACAAGAGTGCTAAGACCTTGTACGACGCTGTCATTGCACGCTACTCTTCCCCTGACACTGCTGCCCTTAGCCGCCTCATACTGCCGTACCTCTTCCCTGACCTCGCCGCTTTTCCCACAGTCGCTGACCTCATTACTCACCTTCGCACTAGTGACATTCGCTACCGCGCTGCGCTTCCTGGTGAATTCTGCGCCAAGAACCCCCCCTCTACGTACATCACCCTCTACTACATAGTCACCCGGCTCCCTGACACCCTTCGCTCGGTCAGGGACCACTTCCTCTCTGTTTGCCCCACCACCCTCACCGTTGACCTCCTCGAGGAGCGCCTCCTAGCAACAGAAAATAGTATAGTCGCTGTAGGAGCCTCTCGTGGTGACCCTCGTACCCCTGTCTTTGAGGGGTGCTCCCTTTCCCCCCTCTTGCCCTCTGTTGCCTCTGCTGCTGCGGCCGACCTCGTTGGTCTCGAGTCGGTCGTCGCGGCGTCTGCCCCTAGCGGAAGACGCCGCTCAGG